TTACGTGGATTTAGTCAAGTTTTCTTATCTCAAGTCACTTTTAATTCACCCTACTCCCCAAGCCATTTCTTCTATTGAGTTTAACGCCGAAAATTACAATTTGGCATATGATAAATTAGTAAAGCGTTATAGTAATAAAAGAATCATTGCGGCAAACCATCTTAACAAAATTATACGGTATAAATAATTTTCTGTTGATAATTCTTCCAACTTTAGAAACTTTCTGGATACATTTGAGGATAATTATACTGCCTTAAAAAATCTTAAACTAGATAACCTTGCCAATTTTGTTTTATTTCATCTCGGACTGAACGTTGTAGACCCTAATACAAGAAGAATGTTTGAGAATAGTCTCGGTGAAGAGACAGTTCCTAGCTTTGAAGAATTTTGCAAATTTGTTAGGTCACAACTTAGATTAGCAGAAATGTGTTCTCAGTCTTCTACTATCTAAAGTTCAGCGAAAGACTGAAAAACCAGAACTTTAAATTAGAATGCCCAGTCGGTAAATCAAGCCATAAAATTATAAACTGCCCTCAGTTTCTGAATGCAGATGTTAATGGTTATTATGATCTACTAAAGCAGTCTGATTCACGCGTTTCATGTACGGGACCTCATCGTTTGCCTAAATGCCAAAATAAAGGTTGTTGCCAAGTTTGTGGCAAAAAGAGTCACTATACTATGCTACATAAGGCTGCAAACACTGAGCCCTCTCAGTCTCAAGTAACAAACATAGCGGGCAACTCTTCAGCAATTTCGTGTCATGGTACTACCAACTTCCAGGTACTTCTGGTTACTGCCTTGGGTAAGATTTGTTCAAGTTCAGGTTAGTCGTATTCCTGTAGAATGGTGAAAGATTCAGGTTCCCAAATTAATTTAATTACCATTGATCTAATGAAAAAGTTACGCCTTTGTTCCCTGGTTAGCCCTCTTGTGGTGTTTGGAGTGGGTAATACCTCCATCTCTTCATCTTCGGATGAGGTTAGAGTGAAGTTATGTTTGATGACGAAAAACAATATATATGAGTTTACAGTTAGAGTGTTGCCTTCGCTTGTTGAAGTCCAGAGTAGATTTGATTCGATTGAACTTGCGGACACTCAATTCCATACACCAGATAAAGTTGATCTACTTCTGGGAGCTGATATATACAGAGAGGTTTTAAGTGAAACTGTTTTATTTCTGAAGGGTCAACCAAAAGCTACTCATACCTCATTAGGATTGATATTATTTGGGGACACCCTCCCAGAAAGCCTGAACCTTCATTACATACTCTTTTCACACAGACCAGTCTTTCCTGACAGGAGGAATTAAAGCGATTTTGGGAGACTGAGGAGGTCACTAATTCAATTTCACCGAATCCGGAAGATGCATTTTGCGAAGATCACTTTAAAAATATATGCACTTGTGATCTCCAGGGTAGATTTGTTGTTTTGCTTCAATTTCATTCTATCCAGCCAATTAGCCTTGATTCCACTAGAGAGATAGCTCTATGCAAATTTAGAAATCTGGAAAATAGATTTATGAGAGATCAGGAGTATACGTCTGTCGATGCTGCACAGATAGACGAATATATAAGACTGGATCCTGTCCGCCTCGCCAAGAACCCTTCTCCGTACGTCATGACCCATCATGGAGTCATTAAAGATTCTTCCACGACAAAACTTAGTCGTATTTAACGGTTCGAAGATGGTGGGAGGGAACTCACTGAATGATTTGCTTTTGACCACTCTGCAGCTCCAGACTGATATTGCGGAACTTATAGACTATTTTAGAAGCTTTCCTGTGGCCTTTATATGCGATATAAGAATGATGTTTAGGTTCATCCGCATTGCCGAAACTAATCAAAATTTATTACAATTTTTTTGGAGAAGTGAATCTTTTCAGCTGATCCAGGAGTATGAGTTGGTTATCTCACCATTAGGAAATGTTCTCCTATTATTGCTCAAAGAGTCATTGTACAGTTATTTTGGGAAGAAGGCCATAATTTTCCTAAAGCTGCCCAGTGCCGTGACCAAATTTATGTAGACAAAGTAATCACTGGTGCTGGCAATAGTGATGAGACTCTGGAATTGTATAATGAACTGATAGTCTTATTTGGAGGAGGTGTGTTTGAAATTGGAAAGTTCTCCAGTAATTCTGAAAAAAATACTTTCTGTTATATCCGAGGATAGTCAAGAAGTTCCGTTGTGCCTCGATGGAGATTTCTTGACATCTTCATCAGAAACATGCCAGTTATCAATAAGGACACTGATCGCTTATGTAGCTAGTGTTATGTCTATAATCTCTGATCTAACTTTATTATAAAAGGTTGGTTTAGTAAGTCAAGATCATATTTAATAATGGTCTCCAAAAGTTTCTCACCTCTAGAATTAGTATTCGTGCTCCCCAGATTCCATTGTGTGCATTAGCCTATGATGTTGTCAATGCAGTTTAGGATTCTCTCAATTCCTTCTGCAGGTTCTTGATATTCATATGGCAGATATCCTACCGGTATGATGATAGATTTGCCTTCCCCTTGCTGGGTGTATTTGGCTGCTGCTAGATCTCTAGAACAAAATTGCCATAGAGGTAGCAAGCAGTTTTAGTTTATATTTGTAAAGTAGGCAGGCTTTGGGGTTGGTGGGCACAGAAATACTTCCGTTTCCGGGTATACCCAATCTCCTGATCCTGCCTTCAACTAGATAAGATTCAAGTATTAGAATAATATCTATATCCTTATCTTTGATGTACTGTTACAATACAGTGGTGGATACTGATCTGCAGCAGTTTCATATTCTTCCTTGATATTACTGGGAATAGATTTCCAGATGCAGTCAATGTCATGGGTCCACCATCGGACTCAGTTTTCATCTTGTCTTTAGGTTTACATCAATCAAGAATCAAATGGGCTTTGAAAATAGTTGGGCTTAGTAATGAAAGAATTCATAAAAGACTGATATTTGCTGTACCGAATGGTAAACGTCCGATAGGTAGACCAAAGCGAAGTTGGGAAGATTGTGTTAAACCGTTGGACGATGAACGGTGGAGAGAGGTGTGTAATAAGCAGTTGGTGGTGTCGGCATCGAACCTCCGGGTTCACTAAGCCTTTTATTATTATTATTTATAATTTAATACATATAATCAATTAAAAAAATTCAAAGGTAATGTAAAGTTATTTATTAATGTTCCTAGAATTGATAACTCTTCTGTTTTGTATCTATAATAATTAAATTCAAATTAAAGTAAAATCAAATACACCCATAGCTTTAAACAAACCCCCCCCCTAATTCAACTTTATTAATAGATATTTCACTTCTGTACCATTTCACTAACTCATATTTACTGATTCACTACTCACTTAATAAATATAATTCACTAGTTAACTTTTAGACAAATGACCTCTTATATTCAACCATTAAAATAGGATACAATGAGCTGTGAAGGTTTGCTGGGTGCTAATTTCTAAACAAAGTTAAAGGGTGAATTTTCAGTGAAAGGAGAGAGGATGTTTACTATGTTTTGTTTTTTTTATTTTCATCGAACAGAAGTGAACTTATTCTTTTCGCAGAAATACACTCAGCAGCTAACACTTCCTTTTCTCTTTAAACTATAAACAAAATAAATATTTATGTTTGCTAGAGTATTATAATATGATAGAAATATGTGACATTATTTACCTAATATAGATTAAAAAAACTTTGTTATTTTCTTATATTTGTTCTTAAAACTTTCTGACTACACATATTTTCTTAGCCAACGTTTCAGCCCTTAGGCCATTGTCAAGAGAAGAAATCTATTTTAATAATTAAAAATCATTATGCATTCAATTGCACTTGTCAACTCCATTTAAATAATTAAATGGAGTGTTAAATGTTGTCAAAAATATTTGACTAGTTAAATGGAGTTGACAAGTGCAATTGAGTACATAATGATTTTTAATTATTAAAATAGGTTTCTTCTCTTGACAATGGCTGAGGGAATCTCCTTGATAAATTTCTCAACATTTTTTTATTGCTCCAGTAATATAACTTGACTGACCTTCTCTACTTACAGTTAGCGTATCTATGACTTCATAAGTTTATTATGCTCAGGTGGACTTTGTATAATTCTAACACTTGAATTAATCAACTGTATGGTACAGTTTCAAAAGCTTTTTTGTAGTCAATCCAAGCCATTGATAAACTTTGTTGTTTTTTTGCCACTTGATTAGAAATAAATGAGTTTATCACTAGTAGTTCTTTGCAACCTAGTGCTCCTTTCCTACATCCCAAATGTTCTTTAGGCAAGAAATTATTATTAATCAAATGGTGATTGATTTTGGAAGCTATTATGGATGTTATCACGCCAGTATATACGGCCAAGATGTATGGGCCAATATACAAGTATGTTGTATTAAGACAAGTTATAGGACTGAAATTGTTAGCTTATAGATTTTGGCTTTCTTCCTTTGGTATGATATAACTTATCCCCTCTGTGAAGTCTTTAGTAATTTTGGCCAAGCCTTCTACATCTGTTGCTGAGCACGAGCTGGAAGAGCATCCTCTTACAAATGCGAGTTCACACTATGGTCTGTTGAATGCAGTCTTGTGGTCTGTTGTGATAGGGTGGTGAAACTCGCTTCGCCATTTCCTGAAGGAGGTTGTCAAATGATCCCGCCTGATATATCCTCAGTATCAGGCTTGTCCAAGGCAATATTCATATTATTAGAATCCATATTGGTGTGTAAGCAACTGCTCCTGACGTGGGGAACAGATGCTGACCAGGTTGCCACCCAATTTGTGAACCTACACACCTGGATTTTATTATTTTTGGTCCATCCCGAGTATTTTATTTCTCTGGTACCCACCATATCTGGTGAGTATTCCCCTATCCACCGCCTGGGGAGGCGCCGGAAGGTGCCATGGGATACTAGAAACTCCACATGGATTATTATTATTATTATTATAAATGATTTAAAAATGATTCTTAATCTTAAATATCTATTGACAAAACATTTACTAACATATTTTTTTAATCTTTTTCAGAATTTGAACGAGAATTATCTGTTACAAAGAGAGAAATTTTTAAAACGATTTATTCATTTCTCTTTTCATCCATTTTTGCATTAGGATACGGTAATTTAATTATATAGTTTATTTTAAAGTTAATTATTATTATTTTTCTAGTCAGGATTTTTAATATAAAAAAGTAATTTGTTTTTTAAATTTCAACAATTTGTTTAAATTGAAGCTAAAAATACAGTGCTTAGGCGGATAAATACTATAAAGATACTATTTATGGTTTTAGTTGATGCTCTACCACACCGTTACATGATTTATCCCCTTATTCCTATAACTTTGTGTTACTGGATAATTTTGAAATATTCCTGGATCTTAAAAGGTTTTTATTTATTTAATCGTTCAACGGCTATCAAAATAGTATTATACGGATTGGGTTCACAATTGATTGTAAGTATATATTTCTTTATTCTTTTCATTTCAATGAGATCAATCATTTATATATTTTGTTGTTTTAAATTTATTTATTGTTATTATTATATTATTTATGATATTTACAACTGTATAAAAAAAAATACATCTAGTAAATTTGTACAATGGATATAATGACATGAAACACTTGTTGAGAAACTACCCACTAGTAGCACCCTAATAATATGTCTACATTAGGAGATCACGGGGCCATCTTCTTTTTAGACACCTCAGACGGTTATTAGGAATTGAAAAGGAAGCAAGGTGAGAAACGAGAGGGTTTGGATGGTTATGAAGTTTTTTATATAAGGATAGGTATCTGGATTGGGCCGAATCTGAAACATAAGGAACATTAAGGTCATTATGGATGATTTTATTTTAAACAAAGTAAGGAACATTAAGGATTTTGAATTGTAAGGATTGGATACAAGAGGAATTTTATGGTTTGGTGGAGCCTCATATCTCAACTCCGTAAGTCCAAATAGGTCTTATTACAGTCATGTATATGAATCTTTTTTAATTAATTAGAAGGTTAGAGCATTTGTCTAGTAAGTGTTGAAGTAGTTTGAAACATCGAGCGATTTCTTGTCATTTCAATATTGTATGAGGATCCAAGTGAGACGTTTGTCCAGGTGGAATCGTAGGTAGTGGATTTGTTCAACAAGGGTAAGTGAGGTATTGTTAAAGGATACTGCAGTAATTGGTTATTGGTTTACGACGAAGGGTAAAGGTAATTTGATGGGTTTTATTAGAATTTATTTTAATTCCTCAGTTTTGACACCATTCTACAAGGTTTGTGATGTGTGATTGAAGAATTTAGGATGCAATTGATGGGTCGTTATTAACTGATAGGATACATGTGTCATCGGCATACGTGGTGATGACAGTGTTGGGATGGTTTAGGGTATTGACTGTGTATAGGATAGGACCTAGGATACTGCCTTGAGGAGTAAATCAGACTGGGAAAAGGGGAATGTATAGACATTGCTCTGACTTACTTTGAAGTATCTATCAGTATGGTAGGTACGGATAATGAGGTATTATGTAGATGGTAGGAATTTTTGGAGTTTGTACAACAGCCCCGGGTGCCAAACTCTATCAAACGCCTGTTCAACGTCAAGAAAGACTCCTGTACAGTACATTCCGCGCTCCAATGCAGAGGAGACTACGTCTACCACACGATGACATTGCTGTATAGTGGAATGGAAGGAGCGGAATCCAAATTGGTGATCTGGCATTATGTGATTAGAATTTAGGATGGGATATAGACATTTTAAGATCGACTTTTCCAGGATTTTGCCCATGATAGGTAAAATGGAGATAGGATGGTAAGAGGATGGGTATTCTGGTGGCTTTTTGGGTTTGTGAATCATTTTGACAATATTTATTTTCCAAGGATCAGGGAAATATTTGGATTGGAGTACGAAATAGAATGGCTTTCCGAGGAAGAAGTTTTAAGATCTGGGATGTAATTAGGTCATGTCCAGGAGCTTTACAGGAGGCTAATCTATGAATGATGTTAGATATTTCTGTGGGATGAAATGCTTTAGGTGGAAGGGACATTTGGAGAGGAGTATCCAGTTCTAATTCAATACATTAAATGTGAGTTGAATTAAGGATATTGGGATGTGGGTTAAAAGTTTGGAAGAGATGTTGACCAAATATTTCTGCTTTATCTTCATCGGATTTGGACCAGGTGTGGAATTTGGTTAAAAGTGTGTGATTAAAGTCTTTAAACTGCAGAAGTTTTTTGGTGGTCGTCCATAGTGATTTGTCAGTTTTTGTAAGATTTTCAGTTAGATTAAGTAATTTTTAGTTTTATATTTTCTTATATCTGATTATAGTTTGTTAGTCAATCCGATATAGTACGTTTTGTCTGAAGGATATCTAGTCCTGTGCCACTTCAGTCTTGCTCTGCGTTTATCCCTTAATAAGATTCGAATATGTTGTGGCAAGTTAATATATCATGAATTATGACTTTTTTTGATGGATGTGTTATTATTTATTCTGATTGTTATAAATGTCGTAAGTTTTTCAATGGTTTTATTAATGTCTTGTTTTGTCTTAAACGGAATTTTTAAGTCCAGTTTATTTTCCAGATTATCACGAAATTTGTCCCAATCTACTCGTCCTGTAATGAGTGTACGAGGTGAGGGTTTAGGAACAAAGTTTGAATGTAGTAAAAGCAGAACTGGATTATGATCTGAAGAGAGGTCATCCAGTGATTTGATAATGGTTTGGGAGGAAGAAATCTGGGAGGTGATAAATATATCCAGGATATCAGGACGTTTTTTCAGGGATGTTGGCCAATATGTAGGATTCATGGGCGAGAAGATTGAATAACTGTTGGAAGAAGAGAAACGTGATAGGATGTTGCTGCAGAAGTTGGATGTTCAACAACCCCAAGTGGTATTCAGCATTGTGGTTCCTCCAGCAATAAAGCGTGTTCCGAGGAATTGAAATAAGGATTTCAAGTAGCTATAAGAGAGGGAATTACCAGGAGGACAGTATACAGCTGAAAGTGTTAGATAGGAAGGACGAGTTGAAAGGATTACAGAAGTGATTGAATGGCATCAGTTGGAATGGAAGGAATAAGGGAATGGGGTAAAGATTTTAGTATAAGGATACAAGAACCGGCGTGGGAAGTGTTGCCAGGGTGGTCAGATCTATAGGTGATGTAGCCACGTATGTAGAAATGTGTCCATTGAGTGAAGTGAGTCTCTGTCAGGAGGACAATGTCAATACAATTGTCATGGAAAAATATGTCTAGTTCCTTACAGTGGTTTTGTAGTCTATTAGCGTTTCATAAGAGGATAGGTAGGGGCTTTGTATTCATCGAGGGAGGTTAAACGGGATTTCAGAAAGGAATCTTGTGAGAAGGGTTATGAAGGGATTGATAGTCTGTTGAAGATCTATCAGGAATGATGATAGGATAGAGTTGATGTCAGGTGATGTTTGGCTGGGAAGTGGATTTGGGTGGGGGATGGACCCGACATGGGGTATGAGGAGTAGGATATAAATTCTGTTGGACTTGTGATGGGAGGCTCATCTTGGGATTAGGAATGAATGGAGCTGGATGTGGATGCTCCGGCAAGAGTTTGACCCTTAAGGTAGATGATGAGGAAGGATTTGGTTGGGGAGGTTGAGGTTGAGTATTAGAGGTATTGGGCTTGGATTGGGAGATCTGAGACGCCTGACGTTGAGGCTGCATCTTACTGATGGAAGACGAAGTGAGAATTCCTGGGATTGTGATGAGGATAGTCCTTAACTGTAGAGATGGGTGGTTGTTGTTGAATGATGAGGGAAGGTGAAGTTGGCAAAGCTGGGAAAATTTCTTAATTTTAAATTTCGAGAGCTTCAGGGCAAGTTTTCTGAGTAGATCCAAGACTTTTAATCCGCTAAGTTATGTGATCTCTGTTTGTGGAGATTTTTATATACAACACATCCTCTATAGCTCGCAAGGTAGCCAATAGTTGGGCCTCGCCACAAAGTATACATGTGGCAGGCTCATCTCTTGGCTTCTGGCAAGTGTCTGAAGTGTGTAGGGTGGCACATTTAATGCATCTGGCCTCGTGATGGCAATAGGCCTTTGTGTGCCCTAAGTTTTGACACTTAGTGCACTGTACTATTAGTAGCTTCTGCCTTGGTTCCTCAAATCAGATTGTTAAGTAAACTAAAAGTTGAACCTGAAATATTTCAGTTAGTTTTTGCTGGTTCCAAATCTATAAAGAATAACAGTAGCGTATATCATTCCATAGGATGTAGTACGGATGTTACGTGCCAGACATTATGATTGATATCCTCCTCCCCTGTTTTGATGACAGATATGGGGGTAGTTGAATGTAAACCTCTCAGGACCACTCAATACGCCTTTTCTTGTTTTTAGTAGTTAATCAATATTTTATAATTTTCTCTAGAGTTTGTGTTAATTTTAATATTGACTCTAGAGAAACAGGAAAAATTTGGCTGTCCAATTAGATCCGCAATTTCTTGATCAAATGACATGAAGTTCTCAATTTTTAGGCAAAAACAGGTGGTGTCTTGGGTTCAGAAAAATCTTTAGGCCCCGGAATCTAATTTGATAAGTAATTATCTAGAATAGAATTCTCGCTGGCTGAGGTATTTGATGCAGTTGGCTCTGATTGTGTGGCATTAGATTTGCTCCTAGTTTTAGGTGGAGATTTTTCTAGTTCTGCTTACTTATTAGATTTATTGACGTTTCGATTCATGTATTTTTCTTTTTATAAGTTAACAATGGGATCCTCTTCAAAGTTTTAAAAATAGTGTTTCAAATAGTGTACCTCAGGCCAGGGACACACCAACAGTCTCAGCACCGTCCACCAGCACATATATTAAGCTACTAAATCATCTAACATAAATAAAGCTGTAACTAGATTTTTCACAAAAGTTGGTAATTATTAAAGGTGCATCTGGATTGATAGTAATGGTGAAAAGCTAAAAAGGGACATTGAAATACTGTAGTTCTGCATGATGGGGCTTAAAGATCATAAATGAGGTATGAAATATTATCTTCCCTAGTGTTTTGAAGATGACAGTAGATAAAAGAAGGGTGAAGGGTCTTAATAATTGGGTAATGGTCTGAACCTTAAAATACTTCCTATGGATGGGAAGAAAAAGCCATCCTAACTCAGCATAAGAGTTGGGAACTCTTTCAAGGACATCTTGGTGCCATTGACAAACCTTACAGAGTAAGTCAGGACTTTTTCAGTCTATTTTTCAGTTTCATCAAGAAACCACAATACCAGGAGTTAATGTTCAGGTAGGCAGAACAAGAAGGTAAAGGAGTAATGAAATGGTTAAGGAAATTTGATGATCATTAAGAGATTCAGGTGATATCTGGTATCAGAATTTTTTTTTTATGATTCAATATGATTTTATAAATGTATTTTTTGGGATACCTTTATTTTTCAATTATTATTAATATTAATGTATTTAATATTTTGTTTATAGATCCTATCATTTCACCAAAAATGGATAATATCATTAACCTTGATTGGTTTTTGTTTCTGGCCTGGTCTGGGTTTCTCACCTGTAATAGACAGTAAACATGCAGTTGCTCCAAGAAAATTCCGATTATTTTGGTGTTTTAGTTGTGTTGGATTATCAATTTTCCCGTTATTGCCTATTATAGTTGGAGAAGAAGAAGTTATTTTTAAGTATATTTCATGATTTTTTTATATAAAAAGTTTTTATTTTTAAGTGGTTATAATATTTGATTATATTATATATATTAAACTTTACATTTATTCAGGCATAATATAGGTAATTGTAGCTTGTCAATTTCAAAGCAGCCTATGCAATCGGCACACAAAAACTGTAAGAATTACATCTGTAGAATAGAATATCATCATACTGAAAGAGTATACGTCGGAATACATCATAAAATCCTAGAATATGCTGACCATATAGCTGTCCAAAAAAAAAAAAAGTATATTGAGAAACATAAAAATTGACATAGAAAATAAGGGATCAGAGACATTGAGAAGGAAATCTTTCGCGATAGTAGAAAGATTCAAATACCTCTGTTTTGCAATAAAACTAATAAATGCCCTATGATCAGATATATGCCAGTGTATAACAAGCATCAAGTTTTCTTCTCCCTTTTAAAGGTATTGAAATCCCAAAAAATCTATAGAAATCTCAAATTAAGAGTGTGTAATGGTATGATAAAACTAGTTCTGATACACAACTATGAGGCTTAGAATCTAACCAGAACCCTAGTCAGGAGTTTTGAAAGATTTGAGGAGAAAATATTTCACATGATAACTGGAGCAATCTGGAATGACACTTTGAAGATAGAGAGAAAAAGGACTGACATAAAACTGCTTACAGAAATCGGTCAATCAATATCTTATAATATGAAGGAAAGGAGGTTAAGACAGGTAGGACCTGTAGCTCGAAGCAATCCACCAATAAGCTTCTCTACCACAGCTTAAAATGAAAAAATTAATTTTATTTTAAAATAATTTCGGTATAACTATAATTTTAATTTTTAATATATATATACATACATATTAGTAGGCAAGAGACCACATGGGAGGCCAAAAACCAGATAGATAGATAGGATAAACAAAGATTCGGCTGAGCTTCATGCCGCAAACTGGAAAGCAGTAGCCTAAGATAGGCAGAGGAAGAAAAGGCTGAATCCACAAGGTCTGTAGAGTCAACCGAAAAAAAAATATATACACATATACAAGGTGCATAAAAAAACTAATGAGACTGGTAGCAGTGTGAGTGATCTGGCAATGCTGTGTTGTTCTATTTGTCTAGACAGGTTTGTACATCCCTTCCAGATGTTCAGTCTGAGTTTCAGCACTGCGCAGCCATCACACGATTTTAAACACATCAGTTAAGATGTGTTTTTGTTGTGTTACAAAAATGGAACAGCAGAATTTAGAGCAATGTTATGCTATCAAGTTTTGTGTTAAATTTGAGAAATATGCATTTCTGACCTTTTAAAAGTTGAACCAGGCCTATGGAAAATATTCTTTATCAAGAGCACTAGTTTTTCCCTGGCACAAATCATTTTTGAAAAGCCGAGAACATGTTGAAGATGAACCTCAGGGAAACCTTTAAATACAATAACATCAAAATCCAAGTCTTTTACAAAGATGTACGTAAAAAGCTAAAGAAACGGTGATTTGTGTGAGAACATACATAAAACCAGAAAAGTGGACGCTTCATCATGACACCACTCCATTTCAATCACAAAATTTTAGACAACAAAACGCAATCCTGTTGTTCCTCAGTCTCCTTATTCACCTGATCTGAGTCCTCATGACTTTTCTTATGTCTTTTTATTTTTTTATTATTATTAATACTTTATTGAATACATATAAATTATAAATTTCATGAAATATTCTACAGATTATTTATATGGTATGATTAGTCGTCTGCAGGAAATTTTATATGTTTTACTGGTGCAGTACAAATAAAGGTTTTATAATAATTACATACCAAAACAACAAATAGAAATATAAAATAATAAATATTTTGAATAATTTATATCTAAGAAATAATAATAAAGGCAAATGAGGGAAATCATAAACAATTACATGAATAAAACTGACCACAAATAAATTAGACGGATCATTGTCTATGCTGGATGTAGCAAATTAAAATGATGGATCCATGCATGTCAAGCAAAACTGACAATTTTATGGTATTCGTTCACAAGGGGGGCATTTAGAAGACAAATTAAGATATCATTTCGAACCGGGCTAGTTCCAAGAAATTCGATACGATTTTGACTAAGTATTGAACATTCAACCAAAAAATGGAACATGTCCTCCTTTACTGGCAGGTTACAGAGTAGACAATCTGTATTTTCCCTATCGAGCCATGGGGTGTAATCCAAATAAAGAAGTTCACACTTGAGCTTAAACATCCAACTCAACTCACGTCGAGTCAAATCCCAAAAGCAGCCATCCAAAAAGTTCAAAATTTTAAGATTATGACTCAATTCCCTATACAATAGAAATCAATTAGAATTAAATTGCTGCTAATTTACACTGTTCCCAATGTTGCTGAGTGATTGCAGACCATATTGTTTGACCATAACAAAAACCATTCCAAAGACCTGTCGAACCTGCAAGAGTATCTTTCCTCCAAGTTGTTCCAATTTTTAAACCAAAAGGTATTATATTTAATCATTTCAATGGTGATAACTCTGGAGATACGACTTTCAGGCAGGCAGAGAAACTTAAGACAATACTTAAAATTGAACTACTAAGTGAATACTTCAAGTGAATTTGTGGCTGTTTCTAAATAAATCGTGTTGTTGGAGGGAACAAAAACAATTTCTTAATGAAAAATCTCTGAAACTTTTCCAGTATATCCTATCCCTGAAAACCCCAGGCTTGAGCTGCATGGCATACTATGGAGCGCAATATTGCAACAAATATTTTTTTTTGGCAGATAGTGGGATCAGATCTTGAGAAATGAAACTTGACCAATTCCTATTAAGGCCCATTTTAGCAGCCGATATATGATCTCTCAAATGGTAAGTCAATGAAAGGCTGGAGTTTAGCGTGACACCAAAATATTTATAAGTATTCACTACTTCTATTGGTAAACCCTTAAATTGCCATCTGACTGCAGCAGCCAGCCTTCCACTTTTCCTAAAAACCATAATTTTTTATTTAGAAAGATTTACTGTAAAATTCCAATTATCACAATATCCTCCCAGAAGGTGTATATTTCTTTGCAGTGTAACCCTATCTTCAGCCAGCAGCACAATGTCATGAGCATACATCAAAACGCTGATACGGGTATCACCTATACAAACTCCTTCTTCAAGCATATGAGGAAGATCATCTAAATACAAAGAAAAGATTACTGGACTGAGTAAACATCCCTAGCATATGCCATTATTTACAGAAAAAAACTCAGAAATTCCCTCTGCTCCTCAAATCGCCATTTCTGATCATGAATAAATATCTTTTAAAACATTAATGAATTTAGTTGAGACACCCTAATTGTATAATTTCAAAATTAAAGAGTTTCAAGAGGTACTGTCAAATACTGCTTTGAAATCTACAAAAAAATGCAAAGATTTTTTGTCCTTTTTTTAAGGAGTTTAATTTTTATAATGTTTACCAAAACAAATAAATTGTCAATTGTTGAGTACCCACATCTAAAACCTGTTCGGTATTGCTTGAGAAGTCCATTCTCCATGGCAAAAGTTTCCAAACGTTGCAAAAGAAGACCAGAAAATTTTTTCGCAGATGCATTCAAACATGATATAACCCTATAATTATGAACACCATTGATGTTGCCACTTTTAAAAGAGGAAATAATATAGATTTGCCAAAGAAAACCGGGGCTTCATCAGTTTCATAAATTTGATTATAAAGAGAAATTTATACAGTTTACCCAAAAATACAACCGGTGCATGTTTGTAAAGCTCGTATGATTATCTATCAATGCCTGGTGCCTTGTTATTCTTTAAATTACTAATCACTACTTGCAATTCACTTAAATTAAAAGGAAGATCTAGAGAAGTCAAATCAACATATAGTTCACCATATAATACAAGTCCACTATTACCAGGAGGGTTAAGCAAGTTTTGAAAATGGGAAACTAATTTGTGGAGATTGATATTACCAAAAGCAAAATTTCTTTGCTTAAAATGATTAGTCAAGTGCCAAAATTCCTTAGAATCATTTACATTTTTAAATCTTTCCATTAACATATTAAGATGCTCCTTTTTCTTTTTTAAACATAAATCCTTATAAGCCCTGTTCACTGAAAAGGGTTCTGCTAAAATTCTGAAATTAATAATGCATGAAATATAATCAATTGGAAAACAAATAAAATCAATTAAAGATTTACTGTAATTACCCATACTACTACTGAAGGTGAATTCACCTTCAATATCATTAAATCTAATTATAAAATCATGGTCTTCACACAGTTCTAATATTTTGGAGCCTCTGTCATTAATGGCCCTATCTCTAGATTTCCTAGAAAGGTTACAATTAAGATTATCCAAAATTAAATCAGAGAATAGAGACTGAGAATCTTATGTCTTTTTATTTTCTTGAAATTAAAAAATGACTTAAAAGGACATCAGTTTGGTACTCTGGAGAACAGAGTAATAAGTGAGCGACTTATTAGAAGCCCTACCAGTTGAAACCTTTTAGGGCTGCTACCAAGAATGGAAACAAGGACTGCTTGTGTATAGCTGCCAAAGGGAACTACTCGAAAAAAATAAAAACTTTGATGAATAAAAAATGAATCTCATTACTTTTATTACTCACCTCATATATATTGTTATGATATATAAAATTAATGAATAATGATTAAGATTTCTGTCACTGTTCGGGGACCAAATGTTATGTTATTATTAGAATTGAATAAAATAAAATAAAAAATATTTCAGTTACAACTTCTGGATGTAATGGTAATTTTATGGACACAGAGGGCTTGAATAGTTCGTGGACTGTAAATTACTAAGGATCAAATAATTGACATTAATACATTATATATTTTATTTAATCTAAGAATAAATTTATAAGTGAAATAAAATAAAAATTAAATCGCTACTATTATTGTTTCTTGGTACTGTCTCGCTGGTAGCTCTGTTTTCGTATATAGTACCGGTCAAAAGTTAAGACTCACTTTTATTTAATTCACAATTTTGAAGATTTATAAAATAATTCTAACTCAAGAGATAACATATTAAACATATACATCAAAATATCCTACTAGTCCTCTTTCAACTTAAAACTGCTTACTATTCCTTCAGGGTCTCTTTATTTTGTGATTGATCAGGTCAACTAATAATAGTGTGCCTGTAAAAATTCGATTAATTTATAATATATTTACCATTGATTTTCTGAGATCCATTCTAGTATAAGTTCATGTACATAAAACATTAAAAAAAAAAAATTATTTTAAAGTTTTAATTTAAAGTATCCGGTAAATATTAAAAACAAACGTTAAAAATGTTTACAGAGTATATTATAGAAATATGAATAAAAAACCAGAAGTGAGTATTAAAACAGGTGTCATTATTGTTGCATTACATTGGGAAGGCTATACGACAAGTCAAATTGCACTTAAGACTACGGTTTCTCAGACTACTGAGGTAAGAACATTTTAAAAAAAGAAAGAAACTGGGCAAAATAAGAGCCACCAATGATCTGGGAGACCTAGGTTAACTTCAAAACATGAATACAAGTTCCTCTGCATTCAAAGTAAGGGCCAGTGGACTCGGAAAGTGCCAGAAATTCTCGAAGAATTAAAATAAGAAAAAATGTGTTAGGCAGAAGCCTGTGTCTATCAGTCGTGTGCAACCTCGACTTAGTGATTATGGTTTAAAAGGCAATGTAGCTGCGAAAAAAACTCTATTAAGAAAACAAAACAAACAAACTATCACAATGGACCAAAAAACACAGAAACTGTGTGTAGAATAGTGGGCGAAAGTATTGTTAACTGAAGAATCAAAATTTGAACTTTTTGGAAATAAATGTAAGCAGTATGTTTGCCGTATTGTTAGTGAATGCATGATAAATTAATGTATAATATCAACTGTAAATCATAGTGGAGGATCAGTTATGGTTTGGAGATGTTTTTCTGACGATAAAGTTGGAGATTTTTTCTAAAGAGAGGGAATAATGGGATACAAAACAATATCACAGAATTTCACAGTACACTTTTCCATGTGGGCAGATAATTGTGGGTCAAGGATTTGTTTTCCAGCAGGATAATGTTTGAAATTGTGAACTTCATTGAAACAAAAGAAAAGGAGAAAGTATTTAAATACATGGCATGGCCACTTTAATCCCCTGATCTCAATTCCATTGAACTGTTATGGGGTAAGTCCTATGGGATAAATTACTTTCTCAACTAGAACTTTGCAAAAATTAATAGACAAAATGCCAAAAATATACAATGCTCTGAATAAGGCAAAAGGGGGATATTTCAGAGAATCAAAAATTGTACAATATTCAATATTTGTAAATAAAATTATAGTTTTTATGTAATAATTGTACCTGTATTTATAAAAAAAAAAAAAAATCTGATTTGATATTATTTGAGACATACAAATTTTGTTATTCATTTATTCTACAAAATCTAAGGATGAGTTTAAACTTTTGAACGGTACTGTATAATGCTTCATATTCTTTATCTACTAATGTTTCTTCACTTGAGGATGGTCTTCATCTAGGTCTATGCTCCCTTGACGACCATGAACATTTTTTCTCCCAAGCGTTCTGGAACCAGCACAAGGAATCCTGGCTAACAGCCGGAAGAAGACTGGGACTGAGACTAGTCAATAGTGGGGGAGGGGTTAGGTGATTGTGAATATTTGATAAATAAAATCATTATAATATATATATATATATATATATATATATATATATATATATATATATATATATATATATATATATATGTGCGTGTGTGTGTGTGTGTAAAATATAAGACCACTTACCATTTTTAATATAAGACCATTTTTCATTGGTGATGAATAGAGAACAGATTTCCATGTTATTGAATTTTCATAGCAAACAAATGAAAAGTTTTAAAATTTAGTTTCAGCATGACAAACCAAAATTATATAGTGCACATAAATGTCATACTTTATATTAATTGTTTGTATTTATAATTGAAATATTATTCTTGAGGTTTATTACTTTTTAAAAATTAATTTATACTGAAACTAGGGTGGTAAATGAAAGTTGTGTGATCCACTGCACCAAAATTTTGTCCATATTTTAAATAAGTTATTATATTCTTATATCATTTAATTGAAAGATAATCTTTTTTTTTTTTTCTAGAATATTTACAGGTTTTGCATGGATTATTGTTGAGTTAATAATATTTAATTGTAACTACCTCAAATATCTTAGACTCACATTCAATTTAGTATCCTTGGTACAATTTGTTTTAACACCTTTGATACTTTGGAATATTTATACAATTTCAAGTAGTTTCAAGAACGGAGAAGGTTTACACATTATTAATCAGTGCACATCATGTTCTTTATTATGTAAGTTTTATAAATTTATAACTTCTTATTCTATAAATGTAAAGAAAAAAAAAGAAATTTGTTCATAAGTCCTAAGGGGGATGTTTATTTATATAAATAGGTATATGAATAAAGTTAAATAACAGTTTAATCTCCCCAAAAAAATTTTTATTATTTTTTTTTTTTACGAAGTTTTGGGATCACTTTATTATTCCATCTTCAGACTAGAAACAAGAAACATTTTTGTTATTAGTATTTATATATTTTCATTGCATATATTTTATAATTTCTAATATCAATAATAGATTTGCCAATCTTACTCATATCTCATTTTTCTATCATCCATTTATTTTATTTTTTTTTTAAAGAATTGTCATAATTTTTATTTTTATGATCATCCCTAAAAATTCAATAATTTTGTTGTGTTATATTATTATTTGTATGTAAGTAGCATAGATTCAGTAATGAATTTATTTATCTTAGTTATATGGTGGACTCCTCTAGGGAGAGCCTAGTCAAACACTGAACCAAACCATGCTCCAAGAGTCAAATTCCAAGAAGTTTTATTTATTTTTATATATTTAATTTGTTGATTATGTAAGCATAATGGCTCCCTATTTTAGCGGCACCTGTTTTATAATTTATTGTTTTGTTAATATGTTTAGTGATGAGTATAGATTCTATTATTTTTCTGTATGTACTATTTGATTCTTTGTGTAATATTTGAGATTGTGTTAAATTGAATGTATATCTATTTGCAATGCTATGATAGGCTAGAGCTGTTTTATTGTCTAATTTAGTATTTTTTGTTCTGAAATTCTATTGAAACTTTAAACTAAAAACCTTTTTTAAAAAATTGGGTAACTTAGCTCGAGTCCGTACATTGTACACGTGCCCTACAGTTATAACTAAATGAGCAATATTGTCGCCGTGAAGACAGTTCAACAACATAGAATCCACAAAAATCTGAATCCATCTAAATTAAACAAAAGGCCCAGTCAATACACAGTTTAGGGCTATGTTCTGGAACGCTGGTGGCCTAACTGCTAACAAATTCACAGAATGGAAGACGATTATTGCAAAGGAGGATGCTGATTTATATGGGAGAGTAGAAGCCGGCTCATCCACTGAAAATATCCAGTTCTACCAATTACCGGGATATCAAACTTATAAACTGCAGAGATCCAGACAGGTTGCATCAGGAATAATTGTGGCTCCTAAATCATCTCTCAAGGTAAACTTTTCAATTAAAAAGAAAATGGAAGAGAATGATAAATTGGAGGCTGTACTGTTAGATGTATGGAAAAATAAAATCCATAGGCGGTTTTATGTAATGTACAACCCCCCCAACTAATAGACCAGACTTATCCTGGCTTGAAGCTCAGTGGGGATCCCAAGACGTTTTATATGGTGATATTAATGCTCCATCCACCATATGGGATCATAACCAAACATCAGCTGTTGGGCGGATTTCATTGACTCGAACCCAGTAGAAATTATTAGAAGAGAAGACAACAGCCCTACGTTTATTTCATACCGAGGCAATACTAGCAATCCAGATGCAATTCTGACTCACACAAATCTAAAAAATGACATCCACCAGGAGAATTGGGACACAAGATATTAAAAATAATAATTAGGACCCATAGAACTAGTGGACCCTCTGAACCTTGAATAGTCAAATGGAACTTGAAAAAAGCTAAATGAAAATTATTTTCCAAGATATGGGATTTACAGTTAAATGAGCATGTAATAAAAGGTAATGTGGATGTTTTAATTAGAAAATATGTGAAACAATCCTAAAATGTGCCATAGAAACTATCCCTAGAGGTTGCGTTAAGAAATATTCTCCTTTCTGGAATGCTCATTTGCAGAGATTAAAGGAGGATAGAAATGCCACCCGAGTACATCAAATCAGCAGAAAGAAGAGTGATAAAACAAGTGTGAAAGCTATAGGAGCTTTACTTAGAAGTTCCTACAGAAAATTCTTGGAAAAGCTAGATTTTAGGATAGACGAAGTCCAAGCTCACTGTTTCCTTTCGAAGATCAACCAGAAGACAGAAACTAAGAAGAATAATCCTTTTGTAACGTCCGGAAAAACTCTTACATCGGATTTGGCTATTGCCAAGTACTTCTGTTCATATTACTCTAAGGCTAGTAATTACCATACAAGACCCAATCATAAAGTGAAATTTAAAGAATCTACAATCTGTCTTAATGGATCAGAATCTTCACTTTTTTGTTCTCCATTCACTGCTACTGAGTTAAACTCAGCTATTGAAAAGATGCCATGTAAAAAAAGTGCAGAGCCAGATAATATCCTTCCAGAATTTCTAAAACATCTAGGGGAATCTGCAAGGGCTACTGTCCTGCGGTTTATGAACAAGATCTGGGAAAAAGGCACGCCAAGTGCATGACAAAAGACTGAAATAATTCCTATTCCTAAGAAAGGTAAGACTCCAAACAAACCAGAACACTGTAGACCAATCGCCCTCACTAGCATGCTCTCAAAATTGTCTGAATGACTAGTATTGTATCGACTTAAGAATTTCTTGGAAATCAAGCAAGCTATCTCTGACAAATAAGCAGAATTTAGAAAACATAGGACCACGGTGGAGCACATGGCATACCTTTCACATGAAATAAAAAATGGTTTCCACAGAAAGCAGAGCATGGTGGCGGTTTTTGTAGATTTTAAAGCAGCATTTGATAAAGTCTGGAGAGAAATGCTGTTACTAAAAATTAAAAATATGAGTGTGGCAGGTAGTATGTTCAAATGCATTTATTCTTTCTTGGCCCCGCGACATATCCAGGTATAATATAATGGTGAATTTTCACCTTATAAACAGACAAGAAGAGGCGTCCCCCAGGATGCAGTTTTGAGTCCAATTCTGTTTAGCATAATCATTAACGATGTAATTGAAACACTAGAAGCTATTCCCGGAGTTCAAACACTTCTCTATGCAGACGACTTAGTTATCTGGGCTACTAGCTGCCACATGAAAGCTATTCAGTGCTGCTTAAATACTCTATTAGTATCATTGCATAAATGGATGGTGGACAACCAGTTTGAGGTTAATATTCTCAAAACTCATTGCCAAATCTTTACCCTCTCGACTAAAAGACAAAGTAGAAATTATATATAATAATGAGAAGCTGTCTCAGACTGATTCTGCAACATACTTGGGTATAAAGTTAGAATGCAAACTTAGTTAGAAGAACCATTTTGATAAATTAATTGAGCAAGGAGAAGGCAGATTAAGCTTGCTAAAAAGACTGGTAGGAATTGAATGGGGTGCTCACGAAGATTTATTAACCCTGACATACATGTCATACATAAGACCAGTAATAGAATATGGAAGTGAGGTATTATTCACTGCATGCCTTGGATGTCGTGCAAAACAAGGCTTTGAGACTGATTACAGGGGCAGCAAAATCCACACCAATTGCAGCTCTTCAGATACAAGTGGGAATAGAATCACTTCAAATAAGAAGAGAAGTGGCAGCAATCAATCTTATAGAGAGAATGAAAAGACTTGGTTTGAAGTACTGGGCTGCTCAAGAAACATTTGTCCTGCACCTCAAGATGCAAAAACCTCTAACAGTAAAAGTTGGAGAACTGTTGGAAAGAAAACACATAGATCTAGGCATTAGTCTGCCATTTAATAAATGTAATGACCAGCAAAAATTTATTGCAGAGGCACGGCTAGATCTAACACAGCCTGTAAGTAAACACCAAACACCTGAATAGGAATTGAAAACGCTTGCTATGGAAACAAATAGCCGCTATTCCGAGCAGAATTGGTTCCACGTATACACTGACGGCTCCACTCAATCAGCTACGGGGAATGCGAGCGCAAGAGTATACTGCCAAGATTTTATGTTATCCATCCCTGCTGGTACCCGGGAGACAAATTTCGATGGAGAAGTGAAAGCCATTTCGGCAGCATTGGCTGCAATAGAGAAAGAACTCAGCTATCCTCAAGTTGTGATCTTTGTCGATTCACAAGCAGCCATACTGTCGATCTGCAATGGCCTGGGCCATCCTGATGTCACAGGTGCCAGAAATCGGATTAGTAATTTAATTATAAAAGGAATCCGAGTGACTTTCCAATTGGTTCCAAGCCATTGCGGTCTACCAGGAAACGAAAAAGCTGATGAGCTCACACGGATTGCCTCGGAAATGCCACAAACTAATCCTCCGCTGCCATACGAATCTGTTAAAAAGGTTTCAAAATCCTTTTACAAGGAAGAGAATAAGAATTGGCAAAAGCGACAGGCAGTGGGAAAAAAATGGGAATCTTTAATAGAAGAGCCGATGAAACAAACAAAAAATAGGAAAGAATCGGTGGGAAATTTCCGCATGACGACAGAACACGATTATCTGCAAAGCCATTTACATAGGATCGGAGCGATGAAAAGCCCTGTGTGCTCTCTTTGCCAACAGGACGAGATGTACGACCTGCACCTCTCAGTTTGCTCCTCTTTGTCAGACGTCTGCAGTAAATGTAATTCTGATGGGATCGGCACAAATTCAAGCAAAGGAATCATGGCGGAATTGTATTGGGCTGCCAGGAGCTGAATAGCCTAATAGCGGCAGAGGCGTTAAATAAAAAAATAGTATTTTTTGAATTCTTAAAATGTTGGTTCATTCTTTTTTCAATAATTTGCCTGAATTCATCTATGTATATCAATTCGCAATTATTACATTCAACCTTATAAACAACATCTTTTTGCTTTAATCTATTTATTTTATCTTTCATTTGACTTAGATGGTTTTTTTTTATTGGATAACCCCCTTCCCGCCATTTCTGGCATGTGGGGGAGGGGTTGTTTTAGAGGTACGACCAAACCTATTCTAACCAGAGTGGGAGGGTTGAGTTTCGTTCCGTGGGTCCGCCACGAAATAAAAGTCAACCACTCTCAGGCTGGATACGAACTGGCGTCGCTAAGCACGAGGATGGCAGGGCAACACTCCAACACACTCGATCACCATGACCTCTATACTCATCTACCAACTTTTTTTTTTTGGGGTCCTTCCCTTCTTCGCCTGTAAGGCTATACGGGGTTTTCCCAGGCCAGGGGGTGTGGGCGGAGATTCCCCCGGCACCGGGACGCAAGCTTGTGACTATTTTTAAATCCATTGTCTCATAGATCAGGTTGCCGGGCAACGGCAGTGCTGTGCACACATGTTAGCCCGTTCGGCCACCCCGCCCACTCTCATCTACCAACTTGGAGCAGGTTGCGTAACTATTCAGGGTACCAATTGCAGCCTGATTATCCTAAAAAATTGAAATCAATCTGTTCATAACTCCCTCTCTTATTAGGGATTGAGTACAGAAGTCTATAGCTAATACCTCGGCCTGATAGATGGATGTATATCCACCTAGAAATATGAATATTCTTTCATTAGGTTTATTCTTTCTCCCAGACACCAGTCCCTAATTCTTGCTCCATCAAGGACCCATCGGTATAACAGTTAACTCCATTACATGGTCTGTGAGAGTTGGTCATGCCTATCATTGCACTTTTGAGTATGTCTCTAAATTTATCAACTTGTTCCCAATTTATCTATTCTATAGGTAGTTTTAAGAGCATGTTCTCCCACCTTAATGTGCAATGGTGTTAAGTTCAAGAGAAGACTCATTGCTGCTGAGGGTGTAGTGCTCATAGCTCCAGTAGTCATAAGTCACGAAAATCTTTGCAGTTTTTCAAGCAAAGCTCAAAGCTTTCTTGCTGCAGCCCTATGCCACCATACCACAGTCCCATAGAGGATTAAGGGTCTAATCGCAGTCCTATATAGCCATAAGGCCATACTGGGTTTCAAACCCCTTTAATGTTTACTAATTTAATTAATTTACATGTTTATATATAGCATCAGTGTCTGTTTTATTTGTCACAAAACATTTCTCCACATTCACGTGTTATACTTTTAATGATAATATTTTATGAACATTTAAAAATCAATTTAATCTTCATTAAAATGAAGTAAGCTTTAATAATTTATTTTATTAATGGATCACAAAAAAAAAGAAGTCAAAACCCTAAAAGCTCTCTAACACCATCTGAATTCAAATATAAATCTTCAGCCCTCTGATTCTATTCGGAGGTGAGAATAGCCTTAAAACCAGAAAACTGAAGAAGAAAAGATTAGACAGAATCTTTACTGAAATTCATACTCATTTCTCTGTACCAATCCTTTTCAAGTGAAGTGAGCCAGCACTAGTTGCTTTACCATTTCAGAAAAAAAAAAATCATACTTTCTAGGTCCATTCCTTGTCCATTGGAGAAGTTTAAAATATTTGTTATTGTAACCAGTTCGAAAACGGCAGTCATTCTTGTTTCAGTTATATATAATCATTTTTAGAGTTCTCAGTCTCCGTAAAGACTGTCCATATCCGATTCTGGTCACAGAATTGCTTTGAATCATTATTACTCCTCTACAGGTGATTGGCCCAGTAAAGGAGGCCCCGTTACCTCGGGACAACTGGTTGCCGGCTATACTCCTGGCATTGAGTCTTCTCAGGAGAGGTGATCCTGAGGTGTGTACTGTCAGTGTCCTTATTGTCAGTGTATATGTATAGTGTACTGTTCTGCTGTGTACTGAACTCAGGGAGACTGGGGGATCGTTAATCCCCACTAGTAGAGTACATCTACTAGCCCTTGCGGAAACCTCATATATTAGTCATTTGGAATGAATTGGAAGACAAAGAGGGAAGACCCTGGAAGAGATGAGGAACCTTGCCGGGAACAGGGATGCATGGAACCGGTGGTTGGAAGTCCCCCCACACTGAGAGGCAAATGGGTGGAAGAGAAAGAAGAAGAAGAGTTCTAAAATTTATTTTCAGACAAATCTTATTTTATGCAGTTATAGAGTCTTTTTAGCTAAAATACTTCGAGCAGCACAGTAAAGTTTAGACCTCCTTCTATAAGTGCTGCCATTTATGCTTTACCTTCTTATATCTTCCAAGGCAAGGCATGTGCCCATCATCATAGCAGAGTGGACCTGTTTTTACACCCTTTACCCCTATTTTGTTTAAATAGGTAGTTGTGACCTGTAAGGCTTGTAACAAACCATATATCTATATATATATATATATATATATATATATATATATATATATAGTGTGGTAAATAGACTTATGATTTTTTCATATTTAATTTTTGTCTTTTTCTAATCTATATATTATTTACAAATTATTGATTGAAAATGATTTTTTTTTAGTATTTTTTCTGTACCTAATGTATTACGGACCTAAAAGAGTGATGTCTCGATTTAATACCTTAAGTTGTTCTGTGGGCTTAACATTTCTGATGTTTTCTTCATCATATGAAGCCATCTTTCCTTTGTTACTGGCTGCCAATCTTATATGTTGGATATTGTTTGAACGAATGGTTGATATAAGGGTAAGCTTTTACTTATACAATACAGGTCATGTTTTATTTTCAGCAGATTGTAAAATGTTTATTTCATTTTTATTTTACAAATTTTAGTTATAGAATCATGGGATATTTAAACAAAAATAGTCCAAAAAAAAATAAAGCTTGTGTGTTAGTTAATATACATGTATACTATCTCAACACAAACTTATTAAAGCACATTGCCACACTCTGCTACCAAATTATTATGAAATCCTGGGCTATTAAAACAAAAACAGTCAAAATTCAATGTTGCTTTAATCACTGACGAATCCAGGATTTAATTTTGTGGGGCTTCAGCCCAAAAGATTTTTTTTTTTTTGGTTGTATATATTAGGATAATTATTTCGGAAGAAAGAAAGAAACTAACTACCTATATGAAATGGTGTTTAAGTGATTCTTTAAGTCCTATTAAATGTAATTAGACAAACAATAATATTTTTAAAGATAATAGCGATGTGGGAAATGTGGTAATTCCATGAGAGAGTTTGATCAATGAAGAAACCTAAGTTTTAACAGAGGAGTAGAAGGTAATGGGTTGATCATTTAGGTTAAATGTGGGAAAATTGGTATTGGATCGGAGAAGAGGCTTGGAACCAATGACAATGGCCTGAATTTTAGCAGCATTAATCATTTAATAACCTTAATCCATTCCAGTTTGCCCAGGCACTGATTCGATCTAGGTTTTCTTGGATCTTAGTAAATGCTACCAATAGCTCAGAGAAAGAAATGGATAGATATATTTGAGAATCGTCTGCATAAAGGTGGTGAGAACAATGGAGAATTGAGTCATGTAGGTCGTTAATATAAGAGCTAAAAAGTAGAGAAGATACGCTAGATCCTTGGGCAACTCCAGAGGATAAAGAAAGTTAGGCAGATAGTGGTTGATTAGTTATGGAGACTACTTGGGCGCGTTGTGAGTGAAAAGATTGGAACCAAGAAATGGAACTATTGGAGAAGGACAATGATTTTAGTTTGTTTAAAAGAATGGAATGGTTAATGGAATCAAAAGCTTTGGAGAAATCAAGAAATATAAGGACAGTTAATTGTTTATTATCTATTGCAGTCTGAACATCATTGGTAATTTTAATTAAGGCGTATTGTGTGGAGTAGCCAGGACGGAAACCAGATTGGAAAGGATCAAGTTGGTTGGACTTTTCAAGGACATTGGAAACTTGGGATTGCAACAATATTTCTAGAGGTTTTGAGAGATTGGAAAGAATTGAGATTGGGTGAAAATCTTCGGGAGAGGATGGATTAGGTTTTTTATTTAAAGAGAGGACAATGGATTTTTTTTCAAGAGGTAGGGAATATTGAGTTCTGTAGGGAGAAATTGTAGAATAAAAGGAGAACTGAGAGGATTTCGGAGAAACATAATTTTATCAATTTGGCAGGAATGCCATCTGGTCCTATGGAATTGGTGTGGGATTTCATTATAGCGGTTAGTAGGTCTGTGGGAGAAATGTCGGAAAAATAAAAGTCGTCATCATTAAATGATGATTTAGGAACAAAGTTGGAAGAGGTAGAAGAAGCAGTTATAAAATGTGAATATAAATTGTCAGAGGAAACGGGAAAGACTCATGATGGAGAGGATTTGGAAGGTTCACAGAGAGAAAGTTTGTGAAGGATTAGCCATTTAGATTTGGAATCTACAGCAGATGAAAGGGCTTCATGGAAGTAGGTAGCTTTAGCTTGCCGGATCCTTGTTTGTATCAAGTTGTGGAGCACCCTAAACGCTTGATAGTCATCTGTAAGCCTGCTATGTCCAAAGCGTCTATGGGCAGCATCACGCCTCTTCTGCAGATCCTTAATTTCTTGGCACATCCAAGATGCAGGCCGGCGACGAAAGGTTGAGGTTTTTATGGGAGCATGGGTGGTAAGGATACTGAAGAGATTGGAAGTCAGGATCTCAACCATGGAGTCGATGGAGGAGCAGAAATATATTCCGTTCAAGTCTAAGGTTTCAAGGTCAGGTAGTATTTTTTCATGGGTGAGAGTGTCTAGCTGACGGAAAAATGGAGGATCTCGTATGAATCAGAGGAGTTTGGGTATTATATGTTATTAGGATCAGGTCGTGAGATGATAAGAAGGATACTGGCAATTGAGAAGAAGAGAGAAGATTCTGTTCGGAGTCTCTAATGAAGAAATCCAACCAAGTGTCGGCCTTGCAGGTGTGGTGAGTAGGGTAAAAAGGAACAATAAAGAGATGAAGGGAGAAAAAAAGGTTTCCTAGATAGGTTTTGTCTTTGGAATTAGAAAGGAAATTGATATTGAGGTCACCGGCGATGATTATTCTAGGATTGAGGGAAACAAAGTTGAGTAGGGTTGATTCTAAGGACGGATCAAATGGAACAAGGATGATAGATCACTGTGTAAAAGAGAGGGAAATTATTACAGATAATTTCTACTAGTAGGTACTCAACTTGTGGATGTTCGGAAGGTGGGGAGTAATCAAGGATTCGGGATTTCAGGCTATCATGGACAAATATGGCTACCCCACCACCAGTCAGGCTGGCCCTGTCATGATGGATGAGGGTGTAATTAGGTAAGGAGACAGGCGACAGACGAGGACAAAATATAGGGTTTGAGCCAGGTTTCTGAGATTGCGATGATTTGAAAAAAGGGTACTTGTGAGCGATGCGGCATCTATGGACTGCTATCTGTAGTTATCTTGTTATTTAAAGTATTGTTGTGTTATTTATGTTTCTTATATAATAAGAATTTATGTTTCTTATGTGTGTGTGTGTATATATATATATATATATATATATATATATATATATATATATGTGTGTGTGTGTGTATAGATAGATAGAAAGTAAACTTTATTCTGGGAAGAGGTCCCTTATAAATAACAGATATGAACAAAAAAAATTAAAACTACATCTGGCCAAAAATTACATTAATCAATATTGAAGAATATATACAGTATCTTCAGTGAAATAATATTACAACAAGTAAAAATAACACCATTTTGAGAATAAACAAAGTAAAAAAAACATTATTTAAATGAAAAGAAAACAAAATAAAATAAGCATGGGTTGATTTTTAAAATTAAAACTCAATCAAATTTAACAACCATTTACCTCAGTCCAAATCTGTTTCACAATATTTATTTATAACGTCATTTTGGGATGTGAGAAGGAATTGGTAAAGATGATATTTAAATGAGGACAAGGAAGAGGCATGGCGGATATCAGATGGCAAGGAATTCCAGAAGGCTGTGGATCGGGCAATAAAGGAATATTCAAACGTCTTAGTTCTATGGGAAGGGATATAAAGGCCGGAAACACGAGATCTTGTTATCTGGGAGAGGACCACGGGTTTAAACTGTAGGAGACTGTAGATGTAGAAAGGGTGTCTGGTGTTGATTGTTTGGAAAAGGAAAGATCCGAGGAAATATTGTCTGCGGAAAGAAGGGAAGAGCCACTTTAACTTGACATAAAGGTGGGACACATGAGACCGCCTCAATGTACCGAAGACAAATCTTAAGCACTTATTCATGAGTCGCTTCAATCTATCTTCGAGTTCCATCGGGATGGGATGCCTCCGTACACCACACAGCCATAGTCAAAGTGGGGGAAAATGAGAGAGGATACAAGGAGCTTGTGGATGGGCTGTGGGAGTAGGTGGCAGGAGCGTTGAAATAGCTTAAGGGTGTAAGTATAGACTTACAGGAGATGAGGCCGATAGGGGGTTTCCAGGAGATGTTTTTGTCTATCGTGATTCCTAGGTTTTTAACAGAGGAACTGAGTGTGACAGGATGATCGTTGATGACTAAAGGAGGAAGGAAGGAGATGTATTTAAGGATTAAACTGGAGCTTATAATAATGGCCTGAGTTTTCATTGCATTTAGATTTAGATTATTCAGACTTGCCCAGGTACTGATCCTATCTAGGTCTGCCTGAATATTGGCGAACGTAACTTGTAGCTCAGAAGGATGAAAGAAAAAATAGATTTGGGTGTCATCAGTGTATAAATGATGTGAACAGTGGTAGATGGATTTGGAAAGATCATTTATGTAGGAAATGAAAAGGAGAGGGGAAATGCTCGAACCCTGGGCCACTCCAGAGGACAGTGTAAGAAAGGAAGATAGGGGTTGGTTTGGAATGCTGACTGCTTGAGTTCTGTTGGATAGGAAAGACTGCAACCAGAGGATAGAGCTGTTGGAGAAGGATAGAGATTTTAATTTAGTGTAGAGTATAGAGTGGTCTAAGGAGTCAAAAGCTTTGGAAAAGTCTAGAAGTATTAGCACTGTTGGAGCTGGGGGGGGGGGGTATTTCAAAATTAAAACACAAACCCTTCCCCAGTGAGGTTCCTCAAAGGTGGGAAAAATTCAAAATTCATTCTAATTTAGCGAAGAAAACAGTTAACTAAATGTTCAAATGTCTTGATGAGAATAAAAAACAAAAATACGAGCCAGGTTGGAGGTTCCACCTGGTTACCTTTCGATGTCTAGCTGTCAAGTAATCGATGGTGGGGTAATATCGATATGTATCGATCTCGATCGATTACTCAGCTGAGCCCAACAGCTGATCCTCGAAAATGGCGCTAGACTGGTGAGTTGAGATGAAGTGAGTCTGGACTGCTGGGGGTAGACTTCCACTACATGGGTCTAGTGTCAACAAAAGCTATCTCTAGATTGCGTTCCGGCAGTATTTTGATGTCTTAATCCCTAAGACAGGGTATTGCTACCGGGCTGGTGTGTACATACTACGCAACAACACATCGCAAAATAAACCTAAATATACAAACGATGTACAATTGTGGGACAATTATCCCTCAGCCTATTACAAAAAAAATAAATAAATAAACATTCATTCAATTATTAACATTTGAAAAGGGTTAGTGGTGAGAAAAAAATAATGAAAATATGAGCCTATGCGGCGTTAACAAGCACAGTTAACATTTTTTCGTCCATTGCGGTATGTAATTCATTGGTAATTTTTAGTAGGGCGGATTGTGTGGAGAAGCCAGGTCGAAAACCAGATTGGAGAGGATCAAGTAGTTTTGAGTTTTCAAGGAATTTAGAGATATGGGATTGAGCTATTCTTCCCAGAGATTTAGAAAGGTTAGAAAGAATGTAAATTGGGCGGTGGTCTTTAGGAGAGGTAGGATTGGGGATTTTGTTAATAGGTCTGACTAATGCTTTTTTCCAAGCAGTAGGAAAACTGAGTTCTGGAGGGAAAAATTATAGATGAAACGACTTTGGGAAAGCATAATTTTAACAGTTTGACTGGTATTCCATCAAGTCCAATAGAGTTTGTATGGGATTTCATTATAGAGGAAATAAGGTCGGTTGGTGAAATGTTGGAGAAATAGAAATTATCACTGTTAAATGAGGGTGATAAGGAAAACTGGTAAGAGGTGGGTGAGCTGTTGCTGGTGGTGGAAAATATAAAGTAGGAATTTAGTTCATCAGGTGAAACTGGGTAAATCGGTGAGGAAGAGGATTTATTTACAAAGAGAGAGTTTACGAAGGGTTAGCCATATTGATTTATAATCAATCAGGAGCATTAGAGAAGGTTTCGTGAAACACACTTATACCTTAATTATTGTGTGTGTGTGTGTGTGTGTGTGTGTGTGCGTGCGCGTGCCCGTGCGTGTGCGTGTGCGTGTGCGTGTGTGTGTGTGTGTGTGTGTGTGTGTGTGTGTGTGAAACACACTTATACCTTAATTATTGTGTGTGTGTGTGTGTGTGTGTGTGTGTGTGTGTGTGTGTGTGTGTGTGTGTGTGTGTGTGTGTGTGTGTGTGCGTGCGTGCGTGCGTGCGTGCCTGCGTGCGTGCGTGCGTGTGTGTGTGTTAATAAGAAACAGGCAAATACCTTCTCAATAAGTTATTGTTAATTTTTGATTTTTTAAAAATTATTATCAATTATCATTAAAATGTATCAATGTTTCATTGAAATTCATCACAGTTAATTTAAATGGGTAGATAACAATCTATATCTGTGTCTATTAAAAGTATTTATTAAAACAATAAGATTTTTTACAGATATTTTTACTCTTTTACTGAAGAAATATACTGTTTCATGCATTTTTGATATTAGTTTATTTAATGGCTGCTTTAAGTGAGAAATATAAAGTATTTACTTATAAGCTATATTATTTTTTTTAAATTATTTATAGAGCTAAATTTGTTTTGTTTTTTAATGTTAGTGATATAAAAATAGTTATCTTGTCACTTTGAGTTGCCTTTTGCCTCATGAACTATTTTTAAATCTCTAATTTATTTGTTTTATATTACACTATTTTTTGCATTTGATCTTTTCCATTTTTATTAATTTTATTTTTTCCGAATTTTCTGAATTCCGAGTTTGCCTTGAAAAATATAATAAGAATATTACGTTGAGGGGTGATTGAATCATAAAATCCTAGGATATGTTGATATATATTATTATATTTTAATATAAATGACAGTTTAAATATACGTAACATTTGGGTATCAATAAAATAGTTACATACCTACTACTAGGCCCTAGCCTAGCCAGCTAGTCGACTTTTCTCATTCTGTTTTAGTTCACACATTTTAGTCATTCATATAGCTTATTTATTATTGATTTTAATTTTTTTTTGCCTCAAATTATTGGGGAGGGGGGGGAGTATCTGTGCCTATGGGCAGGAGTGACGAGTGGGCAGAGTAGCTCTAATGCAGAGGCTAGGTTGGGAACCTCTGCATTAGAGCAGCATTGAATCTTGACTTTTTTTTTTTTAATATCTCATGATCACATAACAGTTTCAATACTCACACACAAATGCACATAGATTTTTGGAAGGCTTATTAAACTATGTTTATGTTTTTAAAACACTATTGCATACTGTTTTAGATACATGCATACCTATTTTTATAATTTATTTTTATGATTGTTGTTTAAGTATTCTACATGGCCTGCAAGTGTAATAATTTGTGATGAAATTGGTTTGTTCAGTCATGACTTCAGGAGAAGTTTCTTCTTTGTATCCTTTTCATTCTGGAATGTCAATTATAAGAACTTATGATTAATTGATTAAAATTATAATAATTATTTAAATTAAGAAAAAAAACCCTGTATCACTGAAGGGTGTTGCTTTCAGTACTATCTGAGAAAGTACTGTTACGGCCAACGGTTGTGCAGGGAGGTGATTTATAAATTAACAAACCCAATATAATTTTTATCTACCCAAGGTTCCTCTGTTCCAAATATCTATTTATTTTGGATATCATATTTATTTTTTAAATTAAATTAAACTATATTAAAGCGTTTAATCATTATATATTAATTTTTGTTCTTTTAGGGAGGGTTGGGGATAAATGGGAAGGCTTCTAAAAACAAATTAGTGCATGAGGTAAAAGTAACAAAATCTAATTATGATTAATATGGTTTTAGTTTTAACATTTTAGTCATTCATGTAGCTTATTTATTATTTATTTTATGTTTTTTACCTCCAGTTATTGGGGGGGGGGGAAACGATATTCTCGCCCCCTCATCATTTTTATTGGGGGAGAGGGCGATCGATCTGTTATTATGAAGCAAAATCACTTTGTGTTGTCTTTTTTTATATACTGGTCATTTTTTATGCAATATTATATTCAATTTGATTATTTGTTGTCAATAGCATTAAGAATTAACAATTTCACCAGGTTTTATCAGCTCATAACAGATCACACCTTTCTGGTCCGTTCTTCATTTCTCACATCAAAATCACCACTTTTATGATTTTTCAAGAGTCTGATCACCGTAGGCTTTGACATGCATTAGATGCGATTCTGCAACAGTTTTTGTTAAATGATAACAGGAAACTAATACTGTATACAAATCATAATTTGTAGGCATATCACTATTAAAATGGTGCTGGTATATGAAGTTTGTATTGTTGTGAGTTGAACATTTTAGCCAGTTGTGGAAGAAACAAAATGGCACCAATAATGTGTTTTAATGCTAACTACTTTACCAACTAGAGCCATTTATAGACAAATTCCGGATTAATATTTATATACCTGATATATATATATATATATATATATATATATATATATATATATATATATATATATATATAATCTTGTTTAGTGTTAAATGTTGATAAACTATAGACTTCTTTTGCTTCTACAAAATAAAATCTTTATTAATAACTATTTTAGATTAAATAATACTTTAATTCTTAAAACTATACCTATCTATAAAACAAAATCAGTTTTTATAGTTTTTAGTACAATGAAACACGACACTAAACACTTAATAATTTGATCTAATTGGAAACTGTATCATATGGTTATTTCTACATAACATCATGTGTTAAATGTATAAATTAACTGATTAACTTAAAGGTGGGATTCATTAGAATCTGAGGCTTCATTATATTTCCCCTTCTCACAAAATGTTAATTTACAGAATTAATCTTGAAATTCTCTCCTAAATATGGTAGCAGTTTGCTGCTATGGTATAAATTTGTGTCAGATCGCTTTCTTTCGGAATCTACTTCGTAAATTGTTTTAGAATTTTTTCTTATTATCCTAAAAGGTCCTTTACGTATTTCTTCTAGCTTATTTTGGTTTAACTTATTGCCTGCTTCTATGTACACTAAATATTTTTTTTCAAATTTATAATTTTTCTTGTTTCTATCTATTCTTTCTTTATTTACTTTGTGGTATTTTACAGAATTCGTGAATGCTTCATTGCGATCCTCATTCAAGTTTCTGTTGGATCATAACTCACTTGGTAAAATGGATCAATACCATGCAGTAGGTATAGAGGTGAAAATTTAGTTATGCTGTGAATGGTGCTGTTATACTCGTCTGTACATTCTATTGCCAATTGTGACCATGGTCGGTTCCGTTGTTCATTTATTTTACAACGAATTCTATTTACTAAAGTCTGCTTTAGACGTTTGTTTAATCCATTTGAGAACGAACAGTTTACAGTCATAAAGATCAATTTGGGCTTATAAACTTTTAAAAATTGTTTAAACTCTTAAGAATTGATACTAGCATACTGGTCGGCAAGAAGAATTTTAATTCTACGTTCTTCTTTCACAATTGGTTCTGATATTTTAATAAAATCTGTAGCTTTTTGGCTCGAAGACTGGAGAACAAAAGTGTATCTGGTGAAATGATCTGCCAGTAAATTTAAAAATCGTTTTGGGGAACGGTTTCCTGTAAAAATCGTTTTGGGGAACGGTTTCCTGCAAAACTACCAATTGTATCAAGTGACATTATCTAAAATGGTTCTTTTGTTGGTCCTAGTTGAGACACAAGCCCAATTTCTCTACTTCTGCGTGTTTTATTCTTCTTACAAATATCACATTGATTGCAGAACTCTCGTATAAGTGTATCCATTCTTCTGAAATAATTTAGAGGTCAAATCTTAGCTGCTATATGTCCAACACCAATGTGACCACAATAAATGTGAATTTGTTTGATTATTTGCATCCCAAAATCTTTTGAAATAAAAATTCTTTGTCTATTTTTAAGTTTTATGTAAATGAGATTTCCTTTTTTAAACGTATTTCTCGTAGTACCAAACTATTCTTCATTCTGATATTGGTCTTGAAGTATGTTTTCCATGGACACTAAGTTTACAACCTGAATGACATCATCTTTGTTTTCAAAATCTTCCAATACAGGATTTCTCGAGAGTGCATCTGCTTCCATATTATCCTTACTCGGTGAATGTCTGATCGTAAAATCATACTGTGAAAGGTAATAAACTAGATTGAGATTTTCTAAGGGCTTATGGTCGGATATATCTTCAAATTTGTGACCGAGTAACCAATGTTGCCAATAGCGTAGTGACTCTTTGATAGCTAAATATTCAAGGTACGAGGCTTTTTTGTTTTCTTTGAATAGGCATTAGTTTTTTCGAAAAGTAACCTACTGGGTGTAATTCACCATCACCCTGAGTTTGTTTTAATGCAGCTTCTATACCAACAGCACTAGCACCCGTATAAAGATACGTAAGGTGGTTAGGATAAAAAATTTCTAGAATAGGATTTGAACAGAGATATTCTTTTATTTGGGAAAAGGTTTGATTGGATTTTCCTGACCATTGAAAAGGTATGTTTTTTCTTAGAGATTCGTGGAGTGGTTCTAAAAGTTTTTTAGCATTTGGTAAATATTTATGATAAAAATTTATTTTCCCTAAGAATTGTCTTATATATATATATATTTTTTTTTAGGCTTTGGAAACTCCTTAATTGACTTCAATTTTTCATGGTGAGGCCTGACCGTGTTATTCTCCAATATTTTTTATTGTTATTTATTTTGTTTTTTTCTGTTGGCATTACAGACCATGTAGATCTTTTACCGCCTTAAAAAGCCTGCTCCATCTTTGCATGTCTTAGGATATTTCTTTTCATTTATCTGCATGCAGCTCTGTTGCATCTTTGTTGATTCTATCTATTCATCTGCTTTTCGGCCTTCCACATGGTCTTTTGCCTTTAGGCATATTTGCTTATTTATTTTTTAAAACATTCAGTCACAGTTTATGTTTTGTGACACTATTACCCATCTTCAGAGTTATAGTTAATAGATAAGCAAAGATGATTTAAATTATCTTATTGTCTCTTATATTATTTAATGTTTATAATTTATTCAAGGAAGAATTTTGTGTTATTTCAGATATAGAGCATCAAACTTTTCTCTTCCGTATATATGTCAATATATTCTTTCCAATGTTTTGGACTCTTTGTCCATCTTCAGAGACATTACTATTCACTGTTGTAACGACCCGCTCAGGTAGATGCGGAATGTAACAATAAATAAATAAACAATTCACTGTTAGAACATCATATATTATTAATAATTGTTACAATTGTTTTCTATATTTACACATATTTGATTAGTTCTTCAAATGGGTCTAATATGAGTTTTCTATAGGTTTGTTTGTCTTCTAATAAAATCTCCATTTTTCTCCCTTGTTTTATCCGATTTTATGATTATTATATCCAGATTTGCTTTCATATATTTTTTAAGTTCTATTGGTTCTCTATTAATTTGATCATTTAAAGGGTCCTTCTGTTTTTTATTGATTCCTACGTTGTGTATATAGTTAATGATTATATTGCATATGTTATTTCTGGTAGCATTTATGTGATTTTCAGATGTATTCATATTTTCAAATAATGTTTCTAAATCATTTATAATTTTAACTATTTCTTTATCTTTTTTTTTTTTGGAATTAAAATTAAAATCTTCTCCTAATGCTAGGAGATTTTTTATATTAATAGGTATGTTTTTATTTTTTTTGTTTTTTATTTTGTGTAAGGTTTTGTATATATATATATATATATATATATATATATATATATATATATATATATATATACGGAAGAGACAAGGTTCATGCCTTATAACTATCTGATTGTCATTATACCATTAAATCATATTACTGCTATACATTTATTGTATTATTGTTCTTGATAGCAATCCTTTTGTCATTTAATATTAGATAATAAACATATTAGATATAATATTAGATAATAAAGTAGAAAAATAAACATATTTATGAAACATATGGACACTTTAAACATGGCTAGATTATTTATATTTTATTAACTCCAAAAAAAAAAATGTTATTTTTCTTAACTATTTCTGACAGGTTTTTTATATAATATTAACATTTTTTGGAATTGGAAATGTGGCTTCTTTAAACAGCTTTGACATGGTTTGGGTTCATTCTTTTGTAAGATCATTTTCACCACTTACAATAATGTCATTAATGATGGTAAAGATTCTTTTACCTTGCATTTTGGTCACATCTGCTTTTCGCTCTGTCTGCTATGTTACAAATGTAAGTATCATTAAGAGTCTTATTTCATCCATAATTTCTAACGACATTTAATAAACATTGTACGCATGTGTTTTAAACAAAATAAACTTTTTCATGTAAAATAGATTTTTGGATACAATTGTTATGAAGTTTATACCAGTATGTGATTGTACTTATTTATAGTTAAAATGTTTGTTTCTGTGCTGCATGTTCTATTTTTTTAATTTTTGGCAATGCGTTGAGCTTTCAGTTATGTAACAGTTTTTTCATTATCAAACTAGGATACTACTTTTATAATTATTCACATTTATTCTCTGGTATGAATCATAAATTTCCTCAGATATGAACTAAATACCACATTTTATGGTCCCAATTTTGTTTTAAATTTAATTTAATGAATTATTCAAAAGCACCTTGAATTTTACAGTTACACAGCTTTGAAATCTTTTAATTAAACTTGGCTTTTTTCATGGTATAGAGCTGGGCATCATGTAATTTATAAGGGAGGGGACTATCTATTTACTTACTTTTAAAGTATACTACTTAGGAACCAACTATCCATTCATGTTGCAATGTAGATATTAGGTAATTGGGGGGGGGGGGAGAAAAAGTTTATCTTCCCAAAAGCCATGCACTGCAAGTGTCTGCATTTCTTAAAAAATATTCTTTCCTTATCTTGTAACCATAAGCCAGTGGGCATCCATCTTTCTTTTTTTTTTTCATTACTAAATCTGAATGGTCTCATTCCCTAGAAGTCCTTTTGGTTTTGTTTGGTGATGACACACATTTCATGGGTTTTCAACATCTATGATCATTTATGAAACTTAGCAAACTAGTTTTTTTTTCAGCTTAGATGGCTTTAGAGACACCAAGTACAATCTTGTAAACTTTTAATTCAGCATTTCTATCCTCCTTGGTAGTGTTGGCATTCCACCCTATGCAATCCTATCATTTAATTTTTTGGTTTTACTATGAACATTTTGCAGGACCTTCCTGGCACAGTTTCTTTTATTTTTTCTAGTTACTCTCTTCTATTTCAGTTACTTCGATTTCTCCAGCATCTTTATGCTCCTATTTGTGGACCATTAAAATCTGTTAATGGTTCATCATTAAAGATGGTCTAGCCATCAATTGGCTAATCATAAATACAGTTAATCAGTCGTGAAACCCTCTGTTCAGCTAGTCTTAGAAATTCATGTCTTCCCTTTATCATTGCTTTTATGTTCTTACTGGGGTTCATCAATAGAATAAAACTATGATCAGGGGTAGAGCACTTTATTACATTTAAAGTATTAACATTATGTACATCACATATAACATCCATGCTAGCCCAAGCTACACTGAGTTGGTGTCCTCCCGCCAAATACTGTGTTGCCATAATCCACTTGCCAAACACATATAATAATAGTGGATAGTCCACAACAATTGTGATTTAGAAATCTCTGGTAAAAATCAAAGTATCAATGGTTCCACACTATAGACTGTAGTTTAAGATTTTTGCTAATAGCGCCTAGGGGAATGACTTCAAAGAAGATGATGATGTGCTCAAACTTTAGAGTTGATGTACTGACTAATGTTACATTAGGCAGGATATGGCCTTGTACTAGTTAGATCAACAAGCAAGGCATTATTGATGATATAGATAATGAGACATTTTTTGGTACAACAAAGTCAATCATAGTGAATATATTCAGAAGACAATCAACCTTCCTACTATTCAATCTCCGCTCCCAAGCAGAAGCTCTTTGTTAAATAATTGCATGGTGCCAAGGGGATGGCAACCTTACATTTCTTGCACAATGTTATCTAATAGAACTCTTAGTCCTTTTTGTGAGGTGCTGAATGGTGCATAGACATTGGAGTTGTAGTTATTTTTCATCTTGACCTAAACAAATCCTTTTTTTCTAGCTGACTAAATTTCTTGAATGAAATGTGGTACCAAGTGCTGTTTGGCTACTCTAGTCCACCATATCATATTTTTTCTTCAGTGTAGAGGATGGATCATAGTTCCATAGTACTGTGGTAGGATTTTTTTTTTAATTTGAATTCCTTGTAACACATGCTAAGTTGTCAGTCAAAAGAGAAGTATTGTAAACATCTCCATAGGAAAAACTCTTTCACCCAGCTAAGTATCCAGCTTAAATTCGTTAATTTAACTTCTTTTTTTTTCTCCTAGCAAAACCACTACTTTCTTCCTCTTGCCTTTATTTAAAATACTGTGCAATTCATTACTGAATAATATACTACAACAAATCTGCAAGATTTATCATAAACTGATTCACCTTGGTTTATTATTCGGGGTCACTTCCTCTAGTATATTTGTTCTGTGGAATGTATTTCATTTTTTTCCTGATCTAATCTGTCGCATATAGGTGTCAGACTTTCACCATGAATGACAATGAACCATTATTTTTATTGAAAATAATTGTTGTTAATAATGCTATCTTTGTCTCCGATTCCAGTTATTATGAGTTCAAATTGTTGATACAATACTTACAACAAAAAATTATTTTTTATACCTAATTTGGTAATTGGTAATATAAAATATTTATTATTTTATAACTCGTTAGTCTACTCAGGAGTCTTCCCAGGAAATCGGGCGTGGAAAGAGTTGGAATTATAATGAAGGATGAGCTTTTTAGAAAGGTAGAGGAATGGGAGCCAGTAAATTCATGCATATGAGCAGTTGATGTAAATTTTCATATTGGGAACTGGACCCTAATACAGGTTTATGCTCCTACAAACGATGTGAACATTCTTGATAAAGAACACTTGTATGGAGACCTGGAGAGTATCGTGGTTAAGAACAAAAATAATAACAAGAGTATCCTTATTATGGGAGACTTCAATGCACGGACAGGCAATGCTCACAGGAAAAGACATGGTGTGATAGGTCTGCATGGAGGTTAGAGGGTAAAGATTGAAAGTTGGCACACGTAAATTGAGTTTTGTGTGGACAATGACTTGAAAGTAGAGAATTCCTATTTTCCACACAAGTCGGTGCATAAAATTACCTTCTCAGGCTGCTGAAAGGCATGATAACAGCATTATTGATTATTTTATTTATGGCCACGACATCAGGAGGTTTTTTATAGATGTAAAGATTATTAAGGAAGCTGAGATAGGAATTGATCAGGTGCTTAAGGAATGTAATACAAAGCCAAAGACATATGACAGGATTGAGGTAAAAAAGCTTTAAGACCCTCAGATTATACTGTGATATGAAGCTGAACTGAAAGGAAGATTGCGAGAATTGAAAGTGGATTCGAGCCTGGATGATTAGTAGAAGCATATCAAAGATGGTACCTTGGAGTCTGTTGCACTGTTCTGTGGAGTGAAGTAGATATCTTCAAAAAGTAAGCATACTACATATTGGAATGATGAAATAAAAGATAAGATGAAATAAATCTTACTGGTTAGTGAGAAGAAAGTAGCATGGTAGGATTACTGCAGCAACAAAACCCGAGAAAAATGGCAGACATATTTACTAGCAACAAACAGTACCAAGGAAGTGGTAAAAACAGCAAAACAGAAATCTTGAGAAGAATGAGAAGTGAAATTGAACCAGGATCATGCTGAAAATATCAATTCTGAAAGAAAATTAAAGCCTTGAGGGGTCACAAAAGTAAATAAATAAAAAACATTAAGAACAAACAGAGAAAAATGGTTACTGAAAATGGTATACTGGAGGTAAGGGGAAAACATTACAAAAATCAATTGGAAATGAATATTTGAATCCTGTGGACAGTCAGGACAGGTGTTGGAATGAGGATGAGTTTGATGAGATGATAGAGGAGAACAAAATCGAACAAGCTATTTAAAAAATCAAGACAGGGAAAGCCCCAGGACGAGATGATATAGTTGGAGAACTTGTGAAGTATGGGGGGGATGGATCTAGTGAGATCTCTCCAAATACTTTTTCAAAAGCCAAAAGCCTGGGACGAGAAAAGAATTCCTACAGTATGGGAATACAATGTCATAATTCCTATACACAAAAAGGCAGTCAGGCAGAATGCTCCAACTATTGACCAATATGTCTATCCCCAGTGGTATACAAACTGTATACGTCCATCTTTGAAAGTAGACTTAGACCTCTGGTGGATCCGCTCATAGCTCGTTTTAGAACAGGAAGACAAACCCAGGATCACATATTCTCTCTCAGAAATGTACTGCAAACATCCTGGCATCTTGTAAAAATATGTACCTCACTTTCCTTGACCTTCGGGTGGTATTTGACTCGGTCCAAAGCGATGCCATATGGGAAGCTCTGAAAGCTAAGAATGTCCCAAGAAGCCCGGTAGAAGCCATTAAGTCCAAAGATCAAGAACTAAAAGGAATAGTCAGGCTAAATGGACAGGAATCTGGGTATTTTAACATAGCTAGGAAGGTGAAACAAAGTTACAGTCTTAGCATCTTGTTATTCATACTGTATATGGACGAGTTAGCTGCTATCTGCAAAAGGCGAACTGTTAGGATGTTCCTGGGGCAGAGGAATTTGCTTCCTGTGGTGATCCAGCTTTTACTATATGCAGATATTGTCCTCATTGCAAGCTCCAAAAGAAGGTAAAGTAGACAGTAACAGAATGGTACGAAGAGATCTATAAAAAAGGAATGGTTATCAATACTGACAAAAGCAAAATCATTCAGGTTCAGAAGGTTATAGGAAGATGTAGAAGTGTTTTGTAATGAAGAAAAATTAAAGGTAGTCCCTCATTTCACTTATCTTGGAACAGTTGTGGAACAGTCTGGGAATGTGGATTCAGAAACCCTCACAGGATTAGTAATGAATGAATGAAAATAATTTTATTATTCTCGGACTAGTGTCTCTTTAGAACAAATTTTAAATACAGAATATAATTAAACATGTTAGTGTATCCATAACTTAAATTAAATATTTACTAAATAATTGGTAATATAAAGCGAAAATACAGGTAATAGAAAGATATAAAAAGTATACATAAATATAAAATAAACAGAGAAAGATAAAATAAATAAACAAAATAGTATCTGGTAGTGCTAAGAGAATCTTACAACAGACTCTTACTTGCATTTCATGATCAATTGGATTAGGAATGGAATATGTGCTTAAAGAGGAGAGATTTGAAATATGAAATTGACTTTTCATGTTGAATATTGAGAGGGATAGAATTCCAGAGGGAGACTGCTTGAATTATAAAGCATTTGTCAAACACAGCAGTTCGGTGAAGAGGAGGACAGAGGACGGACGTACAGGATCTGGTGGGACGGGATTGAATGGAGTGTATAAATTGTAGAATCTGTAGAGGGCCACTGAGTTCTTATAGCCTGGAAGTACTGACAGATAATAAAGTCACTTCAACGCAGTGTAATACTGGGTAATATGCATATCTCTTGAAATCTCGAAGATAAAGCTCGAAACATGCTCACTGATGAAGGCCAATGAGATTAAAATATTAGTTTTTGAAAGAAAGATCCTTCAGAAGATATTTGGTCCAGTTAAGGAGAATGATGAATGGAGCATCAGACGCAACTTAGAACCAGCAAACTTATACAAGGAGCTGGATGTGGTGAAATATATCCAAATAGCAAGGCTGGGATGGATGGGCTACGTTGTGTGGGTGGACAAGACCTCAACCCCAAAGAAGCTGCTCAGCATGGAGCCGGGTGGAAAAAGAAAAGTGGGCCGACTGAAACTGAGATAGAAAGATGAAGTAAGTGCTGATGCAGGAATCCTTGGAATCAGGAACTGGTGGACAGCTGCTCAGGACAGGGAAACATTGAGGAAAACTCTTGAGGCAGCCAAGATCCAGTAATGGATTGATGAGCTCGGGATGATGATAGCTGTGTAGAGATCTAGGGAATCTTAATAAAAGCAGATTGAGTACAGTAATGAGGCCATAAACTGGACTGGAACCAGTTCAAAAGGTTATTTTGTTTAAGGTAGTGGGATAATTGGAATTGTACTAATCGTTCTAAAGGTAAAATCATTACGGGTTGCGGTATTAGAGGTTTTAAGTGGAACTTAGTAGTAAAAAGTAATAGATATGATAAAGGATAGGGAAAATGGATGGAAATTAAAGTTTAATTAATTTAACTGGGATATTATCTGGACTGAAATCATTGGTTTGGGATTTACAAATGGATTTATGGAGGTCGTCAGGGGTAATATGAAAAAAGAAAAGAATCATAAGGATTAAAGGAGGAATAAATGGAGGGTGGAACTGGTGCTTCAAAAGAGGAATGGGAGGAACAGGAGACAAAGTGAGTGTTTAGAACATTGGCTGAAGTAGAGGTAGACTGGGTGTGGGTGGGTTTACCTAAGGACAATATACGGAGGATTGCCCACTTGACTTTGGCATTTGGAGTGCTGGTTAGGGATTGTTGAAAGTATTGGGATTTGGCTCAACTTATTAAGGATTGAGTACTGTTTTGAAGGAGCTTGAAACTGGTATAGTCTTTAGGAAGTCGAGTATGTTTCAATCTCCGTCTAGCCACACCTCTTCGTTTCTCACAATCTTTCACTGTTGGCGTCAGCCAATGTGCTGGGGGATACTTAATTGTCCTAACTATAAGAGGGGCACAACAGTCCAGGATAGTGTGAATATGATTGGTTAGGGTTTCTACCATCACATCGATGGAGTTTGAGAAGTATATGCAGTCCTATTGGATAGTGTCAGGATCAGGAGTCAGAATTTTGGGAGATAGGAAATTAAGGTTTCTAAAAGATATAGGTCAGAGAGAAAACAGCGGAACAGGAAGATTTTAGGAGACTTGTCCTAAAAGACATCGGATGCTATGATGAGGCAAGGAGCTTATTAGGAGAATGAAAAACGTAGAGATTGAGCCAAGAGTCAGAGTGTGATGAGTAAGGCTGTAAGGGACTATATACTACTATATAGGGACTATGTAGTGGAGGTTTGATATCTAAGTTTTATCAGAGGAAGGAAATGTGCGAAAGGAGAGGAAAGGATATTTTCCAAGCCAGGAATCTGGCAAGAAACCGAGAATGGTGGCAGTACTGGCTAAATGCTCCCCTATGCTGATAGGCACAACAGAGTGACACAAAAAGGGAAGTAAATTCTCTTCATAAAAGGTCCTCTTCATTTTTTATTTTTTTTTTATTGTATTGGCTATAATTTTGGAAGCAGTCGGGAGAATTTAAAGGAAATTAAAAAAAAGAAAAGTAGTGATTTCCCCTTTCCCCTTTCAGTCTTGATGACATTAGTTGCTATTGGTAATACTAGCAGATCAACATCCTCACCAACTATACTATAAGGTAGAGGAAGCTTTGGTAATTGCTCAGGTGCGCTGTAACTTTATATAATAGTTTTTAAACTATATTTTTTCTTTTAAAACATCATTTTTTACTTAATAATTTTAATAAATAAAATATGTATTTTAGTACTTAATGTAATACAAAGTATTCCAAATATTTGTAGTTATTTATTTGAGGATGATTGGGAGGGAGGCAAACTCAAGGGAATGAGTCAATTAAAGTTTAATTTTTACACTTTTTCATAAATGTTGATTTTGTCCAAAAACAATCCATATAAAAAATCAAATAAGAGATTATAGCCCAAATCAAAATTCAAATTGTAGCTTATAAAAAAAAAAAGAACAATTTTGTATTATGAGCTATAATTTTGGAAATATAATTTGGGTAAAATAAAATAAAAATCTGGGATTTGGGTATAATTGTTGATTCACAAAACATCATATTTATTCGAATCCACAATATAAAGGAATGCACAAGGAACTGTGGATTAAACCCTGTGGTGGCTGTCCACAGGGAGGTGTGCTCTCTCCGCTACTGTGGTGCTTTGTGGCTGACTCATTGCTGGAAACCCTAAACACTGCAGGCATTTATGCACAAGGATATGCTGACGATATTGCTATCCTAATAGGAGGAAAGCATCAGAGTGTCCTCTCTGATATCCTCAGTACAGTGTCTAATATTCTTAGGAATTGGTGCAGGATTAATGGACTAAGCATCAACCCTAGGAAAATCAATGGTATCCAATTGATACTGAGCAAGGAAGTTAAACACCTTGGAGTCATTTTGGACCATAAACTATCATGGACTAAACACGTTCAAAGCGTGACAAGTAAAGTCCTCAAATGCCTATGGGCTGCAAAAGAGCGATAGGAAAGAATTGGGGACTCAAACCAAAAATGGTATACTGGCTGTACACAACGACAGTCAGACCTATCATACTTTACACAGCTTTGCTATGGTGGCACAAAGCAAAGACTGTAGCCAACTTATGCTCATTAGGAAAGATTCAAAGGCTTGCATGTATAATGATAACAGGTGCGATGAGCACGACACCGACGGCTGCCACTGGACCAACAAGAAACAGCAACATTCGAAGCTGTTCCTTAAAGGTCCCTGTGAAAAAAGAAGTAAACTGCTACTGAAAATGGACAGAGCAGCCCTTAAAAAGCTTACAGCAATCTATACAGGTCACTGTAAGCTAAAATACCATATGTTCAATCTCTGAGTAATGACAAATCCGCTATGCAGATTCTGTCAGGAGGAGAATGAAACAGCTTTTCACATCATATGCAGATGTGATAGATTTACAAGGCTGAGACTGGTGGTATTTGGGGAGGAACGAATGGATCTCACCAGAAGTTATGAGTCGGTCAATCCAGTCAGCCTACTTGGATACGCGGAAGCGACAGGATTAACGTTTTAATTAAAACGACCAACTGAAAATTGGCACACAATGGACCCATTAGGGGTCAACGTGCTCATGGCCAACATGAAAAAAAAAAAAAATATTCGAATCCAATTAATTATTGGTCACTTGAACCTCAAGGCTCCGGTACCATGGGTCCAGCAAACTTCCCTTCTTATCTATTATATGGAGGTCCTGAGTGGGTACATCAGAGTATGCATTTAAAAATACTGCTTTTCACAGCCAAATTATTATATGTTGTAAGGTAACATTTACCATAGAAAACGTTAAAAATCATTTAAATATTTAAGTTGATATTAGTTATAGGAGATATTTCCATAAACCGATTCATTTTGTTTTACTTATGCTGTCACAGTAAAAATTTGGTAATGTTTAGATGTTTTCTTAGCGAAAGCCACATTCAAATATAATATATATAATAGTTATGAAAGCTCTATAATCAATTGTCTTTTTGTGATTATTTTTCTAAAAATTAATGTAATATAAAATGTACCTATTTGATATGTGCATTGATATTTAACATAAATATTTAAACTTGATTATAATATCAACAGTTCATTATATTGTATTAACTTATGTTTAATTTTGTTTTTATTTTTCAGACAAATTCAAAAGTACTGTTTATGATAGCACTTTTAATATGTGACTTTATGGCTGTTCAATTTTTGTTAAGTGTTACAAATAGAGGGAGTACTCTTGAAATTGAAAAATCGATTTCCCATTTTGTTATCATGCAATCAATTTCTATATTTCTTTTCATATTGAATAGTTTTACCAAATATATAACATCTTCAAGAACAACATCCTTTATGGACTGCGACAATGTATTAAGAAAATGGCATGAGGCTTGATGTACTTAATCATGTTGTAATTTAATAATGTAGTAATTTAATTTTCTAGTATACTTAAAAAAAATGTTTAACTTTATTCTTGATTTTTTTATTTCTTAAATTACATTCCATGATGTTAAAAACTTAAATATATGTTTCATTTTACTAAAGCTGTGAAAACTTTATAATCAATTGTATTTTTGTGATTATATTTTCTACAAATTATGTTATATATAATGTGCCTATTTGTGTTTTTATAATGTTCAAGGTTATTATAATAAATATTCTCATAATAATGAAGTGATTAAAAAAAAATGTAATCTGATTTGTTTTTATAAGAATTTTTTGCATAGTTTGCAATAATCTTGTTAATGTGTTATTTAAAGTCCTATAAAACTAGGACTGATAAGGGCCAAGAGAGGAAAGTTTTAGTCATAAATTTTTGGTAGCTGAACAGGAATCTGTGATTTGCTGACAGAAATATATATTTGTTTGCAAAATGTCACTTCTTCTTGTTTATAACCTTTATCATGAAAGTTATTGATTTTTTGAGGAGACAACATTAAAAAAAAATTGAAATAAACCAATACATTTGTATACATTTTATGAGTTTGCTTGCCTTTTCTCCCAAAGTGACATAAACACGGTTACACTTCTACAATATTACATCTTTGCTGACCATTAGCAGATCCAGGATTTAACTTTGGGGGCTTCAGCAAAAAAGCTTATATATATATGTAAGTTAAGGTACGAGCAGGACAGTATTAGCGTTAATACCAAAAGCATTGATGTAAACAATCTCAGAATGTATATATAGAGGACTATAAGGAACAATGAAGCAATCTTGATTCCGATTTCATGCGTTTCATTTCGGGAACCTCTTCCTTTTTTTTTTAATCGTTTTAAGTCCATTACACTTAACTGGTGCCGAAACCCGGGACCTTTAGAGTGCGGTGGTACTTTTTTTCCCAATCAGTGAAAAACCGTTGCGAGGATGTCGGAATTCGACCTAAGCCAGCCGGCTCCTATGGACGTACCAGAGATCCCTCCATTACCGCAGGGAACCTTAGCCACGCCGCATGCAAATGCGATAGAATGGATGAAGATCAAGGTAGCCACTTCGCAGGACCTAAGGAAGGCTATATCCGATCTCGAACGCTTCACTGGTGAAACAGGTGAGCTAAATCATTTTTTAAAGGGTGGAGATCGACTCGTGACAAGAATAAACGCGAAGATCGAAGAGAACCTCGTTAACGCTGGAGATGCGGAGGCTCTGAAGGCAGCTCTTGTGTGCAGGGTAAAAAGGAGTATCCTGAACCACATCCAGGCGGATAAAGAGACGCCGTGGGAAACGGTCAAAGAAAGACTGAAGAAAGCATACGGAGGCGGCAGGTGGACTACGGAAGAAGACATCTTCCAGATGTTCCGCGAGATGAAGTCTTCACTGCAGTCCAACGGACAGTATGCTGCAACACTCGTAGCTCACTACAACCGTATCACGGAGAAGATGCGGGAAACAGCAGGCGCTCCGGAGGTAGAAGCGAAGATGGCCTTCTTGTCCACTATACTGAAAGTGCAACTGGCGAAAGAAACTGGGAAGAAGGATGGCATACCCCGGGAACGCTCATTTATTGAATGTGCCCAGGAATTGGTAGATTCCAGCGCCCGAGATGAAGAAACCCGGTTAGAGGTGGAGGAACCAGGATGGAACAGAGTGGTCTATAGGAGGCCTAGGAGTACACCAACGGCCTGGAGAAGGAGAGAGTCCGAATACAACGGGAGAGAGAAGACCACGGGAGCGGAACGAAGAACAGGACAAGGTAGAGCAAGGGGTAGCCAAGGAAAAGAGGACAGGAAATGCCACGGTTGTGGAAAGAGTGGACACCTGGTGGCACAGTGTCCCCGCACGAAATGTTTTGAGTGCGGGACTGAGGGACACATCGTGAGGCAATGCCCGTATATATATTCCAGAAGAGGCTCACAAAGAATAGAGCCGATGGAGGTAAATGCCCAAGAGTTGAGGAGAAGAAAGATGCACTCAAGGAGGAGTGAGTCATCAAGAGATTCTTCGGAAGAATCCGTGGCCACGGAGACAGAGGAGGAGATAGATGACCCAGCAGGCCGGGAGAACGAGAGGAGCAGAGGAAGAAGCAGCGGAAGAAGTGGACGGCGGCAAACCGTGGAGAGGATCTGAGGAGAGTGTCAGACGAGGGGTGACCGCACGCTAGTAAGTTACAACGTCAGAGGTAAAAGCTGCTGGTTACCTATAATAGAGGTGGGAGGAGTGCGATGCCTGGTAGACACCGGGAGTTCCAATACCATCATGACGCGTGGAGTGTTTAAAAGCTGTACGGTGGAGGGAGGACACTCCAAGTCAAGGTATATAATTGTAAGCTAATCACCCTGGGTGGCCCGTGCGGAGTAGAAGGGGAAGTGGAGATAGGATTGAGGAGGTGGGCAGCCAAGGGAGGTAAACTTACGGTGCACGTGGTGGGAGAAATGCCTCGGGAGTACCAGGCAATTATAGGGTGCGATATGTTGGGGAAGGTGGGCGTGCGAATCGCATATAGAAGGGAGGAGAGGAAAATAAGGATAGGGGGAATCAGGTATACGAGCAAGGCGGCAATAATGAACGGGGACGGTAGAGCGCGTATAGGAGCTATAAGTCGAGCGGAGGATTGGAGAGTAGTCGTGAGAAGGGAGTTCGAAGACATTTTCTTCAAGGAGGGAGACACATTGGGGGTGACGGGTAAAACGGTGCACGAGATCCCGCTGAAGCACGAAAAGGTGAGCTATGTGAAAGAGAGGAGATATCCGCAGGCTCTTCGCCAACAAATTAGGGAAGAGTTGCAGAGTTTAAAGGAGCAGGGTATAATCGTTGATAGCACGTCGCCTTACAATAGCCCGTTATGGGCAGTTAAGAAGAAAAGCGCGCCCGGAGAAGATAAGGAGAAATACCGCGTAGTAATTGATTACCGCAAACTTAATGAGAATACCGTGGATGAAAAATATCCAATCCCGAAGTTTGAGGACATTTTAGATAGGTTAAGCGGTTCAACGGTATTTAGTACTCTCGACTTAAAAGCGGGATATCACCAAATTAGAATGCTCCCGAAAGACCAGTCGAAGACAGCGCTCACGTTCGAGAGGGGGCACTATGAATTTACAAGAATGCCGTTTGGTCTCAAGAATGCCCCTATAACGTTCCAGCGGCCGATGGACGAATTTCTAAGGGGAATTGACGAAGGTATGTGCCAAGTTTACATGGACGACTTGTTGGTATTTAGTAAAACCGAGGCGGAGCTTGTGGAGCATCTACGGAGGGTATTCGAGGGAGTGAGACAATTTGGACTGAAATTGTCTAACGAGAAGTGTTTGTTAGGGCAAGACCACATAAATTTTTAGGACACACGATCTCGAGTGAGGGAGTCGAACTGGACACGCGATAAGGAAAATAGTAATACCTCGGGATGTGAAAGGGATCCGCAGATTTTTGGGTACTCTTAATTATTATAGAAGGTTTGTGCCCGAAATGGCGGAATACCTCGTGCCCCTGAACAATTTATTGAAGAAAGGCAGAAAGGTAGTAGTAACCCCTATAATGGAGGACAACATTCGGAAATGCATGGCGCGGCTGCTAGAGGAACCGGTATTGGCGTTTCCGGATTTTTCAAAAACATTCACCATAACAACGGATGCTAGCGAGTACGCGTTGGGGGCCGTGCTGTCCCAGGAAGGAAATGGGGGCTATCGCCCCATAGCGTACGCCAGCAGGAGGGTTACGGACGCTGAAACCAGGTATAGCGCGCTAGAAAGAGAACTATTTGGAATAGTGTGGGCTATAGATCATTTCAGACCCTATGTGTTTGGGAGGAAATTCCGCGTGCACACCGACCATAGACCCTTACAATGGGCAGGCAAATTGAAAGAGCCCTCGGCTAGAGTCACACGCTGGAAAGAGTTTTTGAACCAATACAATATGGATATTGTATACAAGCCAGGAAGAGAGAACGTGGTGGCGGACTGGCTATCAAGAGCGATTACAATAAATGCCATAGAGGAAGAAACAGGAGAGCCATCGACAGACGTGCGACAGTTCTTGAGGGAATGGACGTCGGAAGGGGAAGGAAGACAGACTGTAGAGGAAGATGAGGATAGGGATGAGTCCCAAGAAGGAGGGAGCCCAATGGAAGAGAGGTCGGCAGACATGGAGGAGTTAGAGGAGATTATCAATGACAAAACCGTCAGATAATTTGGAAGACCAGCACTTCGGATCTAATGAGAGTGCAGTACGGCAAATACGGGCTGCAGAATCACAACCATTTGGTCACAGCCAGGAGCGAGGGAAGACCAGATCTGTAGAGCTCTAAAGGACGCCTCCAAACCTGGGAAAATTCACCACTTATACGTGGGGAACGGGACTATCTGGGAGAAAATCAAAAGGATATGGCGGTCTGAACGAATCGGGCTAGACAGAACGTTCGTTCGTTGCAATTTGATGGTGGACACAGTGCGGGATGAAGAACAGCAGAAGTTCTCTCCATTCGAAATTCTCTTCGGATTACGCGGGCGGCAACGGGACTGTGAAGGCACAGCTGCAGATGAGGAAATGACGGGAAGAATGATTAATAATAAAATGGAATTGGGCAATCTCTGGGGGAAGGTTAAGAAAAAAATAGAGGGAGAAAAGCGCAAAAGAGTGGCGCGGGAAAATCTAAAAGTAAAGGAGGTAACAGGGGGGTTGAAAATCGGGTCCATTGTGTATCGCAGACTAGGCTCGAATAGGGGAAAGGAATTGCGGAGATATGAGGGTCCATTCAGGGTGATAATCATTATTGAGCATAATTTGGTGACGATTGAGAGTATCAAAGAACCAAAAAAAAGAAGGACGGTTCACATAGAACAATTAAAATTCCCAGTTTCAGAGTCAGAGCAACCTTAGAACTGGGGTGCCCTCGTCTCCGGAAAGAAGATTTTTTTTTGTTGTTTTTGTATGTTATTTATGGAGGTTATCTTTTATTTTATTTTTGTTTGTTTTTGTATATAGTGTTCATACATAATTTTGTGTATGTGTCTAAGGGAAAGTGCAGTGCAATACGTCTTTCATTTAGAGATTTCATTTGTGAGAAAAATGTAAAGAGGAAAGTGTGTTTTATTTTTTTTTTTATATAAGGAATATTTTTGTTTGTGTTTCATTGAATTAGATTGTAAGTACTGAACACTCCGTACCTTTGTTACAGTGTGGGCAAGAATATCTTGTCGTTTTTATATATATATACATTTTAATTTTTATTTTATTACTAAGTTTACGAAGATTATCCGTAAACTGGTGGGGGGAGTTAAGGTACGGAGCGGAACAGTATTAGCGTTAATACCAAAAGCATTGATGTAAACAATCTCAGAATGTATATATAGAGGACTATAAGGAACAATAAAGCAGTCTTGATTCCGATTTCATGCGTTTCATTTCGGGAACCTCTTCCTTTTTTTTAATCGTT